CCCTCCCCCGTTCCCTCCCCCACAGTGATATTGTATTAATAACAATGAGAGATGTCTTGCTATTAGTAGGGAGGCATCACTAGGGCAGTGCATATGGTATATACAATACTTACAATATACCACCACTAAAACATTATTGTAAGAGTCTTTATACGATTATCAATATTGATCTTGATTCATCCTTAGCATAAGGACAATAGTTATGGTTATACACCAGTTCAAAAAAATGCTGATTTAGGCAATACAGAGGTATACAAAAGTTACAGGTTTTAAAAGCTATTTTCTGTAGAACATCATCTTCTTGATATGAATATCACTTTGTAATGGTCCTTTCAATTAGTTCATGTTAGGTGTCAAAACAAAATAGAGTACTATTTAGAGTCACACATACCCCTGAAAGCTAACTGAGCCTAATTGTATGATTACTTTCTACTAATTGAGCTGAATTAGGAAGATCATCCCCCATCATACTCCATCATGTAACTTCACCGCTTACAGAATGAAAGGAAAGGATATGTTTTGTCATTACAGTTATTGTCTAGTCAATTACCACATAACGAATGGCATAATGAAGGCAAATTACAGGCTCCTTGTTTTAACACTGCCTCTTAAATTGCCCAGAAGCAACAAGGCAGTTTTGTTACATTTTCACACCTTCCTTTCATCAATTTAGGACTGCCTAAAGGTTAAATACATTATAATGATAATTGTTTTCATAAATTGAACTGTAAATTTAAATTGAGGAAATGAACTTGTTTGCATCAAAGTGTTTTTTTCCTGTGTCTATCTTTATCTGTCTCTATTTTGGTAATGTGTTTATTGTTTATTGTTTTATAGTTTGGTTTATACTTTATAGTTTGTGCCAGGATGTTATCTGTAATTGTTAAGGTTTAACACCGCCTTGTGGCATCTGCTTATTAATTGTGCCGCTTTGACAAAGCTCTGTGCTCTTGCACTCAAGCTCTTGTTATGTCGGAATAAAGAGCTGAGGTCCAGTCTCATTAATAGCGCTGACTTAAAACTACTTGACCAGATTCAGTATTTTCTTGTAAGAATTGATTCAAGCAATTTACAGATGCAGAATTGTATATTATTCAGCCATTCACTCATTAATTATTTTTTTCCTCCATAAATTTGCCCTTTGGCAATCAAACTATGATCATGTTAATATTATTAATTACAAAAAGACAATAAATGAGTTACTTATTCAAAGGTTAGGTATCTAAGCTTCATGGAGTTCTTGCTGTTCATGTGAAATTTCAAATGTGCAAAGTTATAGTGTGTGATTTGACATTCCAATCACAGAGAAAGAAAAAGAAAGGGAGAGAAAGTGAGAGATATCTTCAAGCATAGTAGTTTACTACTACATACATATTACATTCTATCAATTTTTTTTCTCCAAAACCATTCCCTTTTTTTTTTACAAAAGTTATTTAAAATAGAATTAGCAAAATTATTAACATTATTTCTATTCATTTAGTTCATCTACGTTTTGGTTAAATAAGAACATTTAGATTGGGAATACCATGTATTACATGTATGCATGTGATACCATGAAAATGAGATACAGTGATTGTTATGAATCAACATTAACGGTGATTCATTTTTGGTTTTATGACTGTGCACTAGACTATGTCGAGATAAGCTCCTTGTTGTGTGCATACACACAGGAACTTCACAATCACCGATATTAGATCTCCATGCAGTGCGGAGCTAGCCAGCCCGAGAATAAAAGAGTAGAGGCTCAGTCGCTGGAGGTTATTAGTGCACTCAACAGAGCAAAGGGCTCCAACGAGCCAGTCAATATACACTGGTCTGTCTGTTCAAGATATCATCTATCAACTAACGGTATAGTGGAACATTTTGAAGGTTAGGGGGAGAGAGATCGTTGGCGTTACTTGGAAAGACGAAGAATCTTTGACATACTTGTGAATTGTTTGGAAAAGGCATTGGGGTCATCAAGGAATAGGATCATTCAGATCTCATTGAGTATATATATCTGTGAGGATACGTTAGTTTTCATCTCTGCTAGCTGGACCTGAATATGAAACTGAAAGTCAACTGCCAGAAGCTGTTCAAGGATACACAGAGCTAGACCGACATAGTACATTTATAAAATTCATTGTCTTCAGTGCCTACTTGCACGTGATGCCGTCATTAGTTTAGAGAGACATTGATCTGTGTCTGAAGACAGTTTACTTGTTTTGTGATATTGTGATATTGCTAAAGATTTGATGCTCTGAGGTGTTATCACCTTGACATTGTGAATACCAAGTCAACTTAGCGTACATGCAGAATTGTGGATCTTACCGTTGAAAAGAAGCACAATGCAGACTTTAAACTTACCAGCTCTACAGACATACAACTGGTGGAACGACTTTGGGTTCTATTGTAAGCTTGAAACCATATTTCTTTCAATGATTGCTTTGTTGTACTGGTTGTGCACGGCACACAGTGGTGTGATTCAGGCTAAACATGTCTGCATCATAATAACAAAGCAAATATTAGTATTTGCTAACATCACTCATAACATGTCCAATTCTTTGGTGGGTGGAATGTTATTGCTAGTCTTGCTCTGTAATAATTTTCTATTTTGTTGTAGTTGTTGCATTTGTACACATATTATCTGCCTGTTATTTTACTCTTTTATATCAATTAATATTTCTTGAATTTTTCTGTAGGTGTATTTTTTTTGTAAGATAGAAAATCCATAATATCGCTTTTCAATGTACCATTCTTAGTTTATTTGAGTTTCTCAGCTAGAACTCTACATTTTTTTTCATTTGTGATACATGTATATCATATTTCATATGTATCTCAGAATGGTATTTAATATGTGATATGTACTTTGTACATACTACATGTATGATGGGTTCTAGGACATATTCTACAAAGATTAAAGACAGAGCCAAAATCTAGGATCATATATCATTGCTCTATTCTGAGGGTACGCAGTATGGGTTGCTGTTTCATAGCAAGCAGTGTCAGCCAGCTAGTATATGCTCTGATCTACAGATATTCATTACAGACACCAGGAAATAACTTAAATATGGATGATAGATAGAGTTACATGCATATGTAGGAAATAATGTTATTGGGGGCTGTGGCACTCGTTTTTGCTGTAAAATCAATTTTCATATTGAATGTTACATACTGATCGAGTCACATGCACTATTATGAACTTTGGATCACATTAACTATCTAGGCATATGAATTATCAAGCATTCCAGATAATGTTCCAGAATTCGTAAAGAAGTGATATCGTTCACATTGTTCATTTAGATTATGAAGTTGACTCTGTAAAATACCATGTACCGGTATGTATATCTTTTGAAATCAATTCTTAGAATTTGAAAAATGACACCAAACCAAATGTGTAGCTTTATGGGAATGATCATATTCAAATTTAGTGAACTTAAGTTCAACTATATAACCATGCATCGTTTCTTACAAAACAGGTGTTTGGAACTATACTCTGTTTTAGGTTATCAATTAAATTCTGAGAATGTTGTGAAAGGGAAAATGTATCAAGTAGTGACTCAAGTGAGGTATATTGATCATGAAAAATACTCGCCCATTTTCTATGTCACTAGGCTAGTGAATCATAGTAGCTATGTTTATGTATGGGGCTGGATAATTCATAATCCTGCAAGTTATACAAAACTTGAGAGAATGAGCTCTTCTCAGGGCCTCCTTTTATCACCAACCTTTGAGTCAGCAGCCGCTCGCCCCGATGACACCGCTCGCGCTCGGTCGATGTGTCATCGGGTAGCAATTGCTTGAGATGTTGATGTGTGATGCAATACAAAACAAACAGAAGAGGAGAGGGGGAATATATATCAGCCATGGCATTTGCTGTGTGGATTAATAGAGTCTGACATAATGTCAAGGCACTTTGATCTTATTGTTGAAGTATTGAGGTTGTGGTTATTGGGGGTGTGAGGAGAAAATGTTAGGGGCCGGAGATATTAATCATGGTTTATTTATTCAATGATATGTATCCCAGTCTGAGGGCTGAATTGAACAATATTTGTAACAGAAGTATTGACGTGATGAAATAATACTCAAAATAGCATAATAAATATATAAGTAAACATTCCTTATATATACAGTACTAGTAGATTACTCATAAACAAAATACACACAAGTGAATCTACCACTACATGTATCAGTGAAGATCCAAAAAGAAGAGTGATTGAAGCATTAGCTAGCTGCTTTATAAGTATTTATCATAATTATAATTATTTAGGAAAGGCGGTTTACAGGGTTTGATTAATGGGTTTGGTTAAATTGAGCAGAAGGGAATTTAGAAAATGATGGACAGGTTAAGTTCATACAATGTCTAGGCCTCCTGGTTTTCATGGGCTATTTAAGAGGAGGGGAGTTAGGGGTTACAGTCCCCCCCCCCCCCTCTTATGGTAATAGAGGTGTAGAATACTTTAAAAGAATCTTCATGGCTCCAGAGTTATCGAGGGGGACAAAAATTGTTTTTACAACTGACACTGATTAAGAGAATATGATAAAACATGGTGATTTTTTTGTACTATAAATTCCTGTTATTAATCAATTTTTGTTATTTATTTACACAAGCAAGATGTTTCAATTTTGCATCAAATATTTTGTTAAGAAAATAAAAACATGTAAAGCAAGGAGCATAATCACGATAGGTGACACTACGACTGGGAATGAACAAGTTGAACAAGTCTTTGTACTCTTTATTGCGTATATCTGAGTTCTTCTTGCTTGAGGAATTTGTGTGTGGTGAGAGTTACCAAGTCTGGTTCATGAAAGATAGATCCGTTCAGCTGGGAGCAGATCGTGATGATGACGCGATGAGGCAAAATTGCACAAGTTCATCAACTTGGCTGAAAGAACCTGGAACAACAGTCACAGATTGCTTTATTAACTGAAGTACTGAACCATCATCTATAAATGTACCACCCTTTCAGCAGGAATCTCTAAATTAAGCATTCCATTTTCTTTTTTTTCCTCTTCTGCAGATGACTCTAAGTCGAGCTTGCAGCAACGTGGTCTCCTGGAGAGGTCCTTCTCAGAAAGCTCAAACTCCACCATCCTGCTGTCTACAGGAGAGCTAGAGAAGCTGATAGAGGAGGCCAACCAATCTCTTGATGAGGCTGATGATAGTGATATAGCTGTCATTGTACTGCACAAAGATGATGATAACCAGGGTCTTGGACTCACCGTTGCTGGAGGCATAGATCAAGAAGTCAAAGAAGTTACAGTAAGTTTCTTCATTCTTCTTCTTCATTCAACATATTCATAAATGAATATTAATTGATTGACCTGGATTGGCCCATATTTAAGAAACCTTACTAGGCTAGTTGTTCCCTATTAAAGGCCTAAAAAAAGATGTTGTACGGTATTGCCCTTTGCGACTGACCCCAAAATCTTGAAATCTATGGTCGGCTTCTTTTTAAAGTCTTTTTTTAAACCGTTTTTTTAGAGAAAAAATATTAAAGCATTCAAAATTGAGAAATATCAGCCCAAAGAGGGAGAAAGAAGAAAAAAAGGTATTTAAAAAAAAAAAGATTTCTGACCAACCGACCCATGTTTTGGCACCTAAAGGGCAATACAACATTTTTTTTTAAAGGCCTAATTCCATTGGCTACAGTACATAGTTGACATATAGGCTTAGAAAGGTCTTGTGAATATGAGCCCTCATTGCTAATAAAATCAGAATTTCCTGGTAGATTAGTTAAGCTGTAGCTGTAAGTCCTATCTGGTAGGGGCTTCATTTTAGAGGATTAATGACTTACCACAGGGTACTAGTTCGTCAACAACCGAAACATGTAGGACCTCTGAGTTAGGAAAATCTAATTCACATCAGTGATACCTTGCCTCCGTATGTAGCTCATGTATATATTCTTCTTTTTTTTTACAATGGCATTTGTCTCTCATGTAAATTTCTCATACTGTATTTAATAATGAACATGATTGAATCCTGTCATATATGTAATGAGTTCTTACATTGTGTCTACTTACATGTATATTCCAGACAGGGAAAAAAATAAACGGGTGCTCGAGGCGAATTAGCCCCCGAAAGTCATAAAAGAGTCCAAAAAAATTTGTATAGAGTTCAATGCAAAACATATTAAAGAGTGCAATTTTAATGCAAGCAAGCTTGAAAAGTAGCCCCCCAATTTTTTTTTCCCCCTGATTCCAGAGTGATACTAGTACTATGCGACAATACCGTAGATCTTAAACTTATCATTCTTTTGTCTTTGGTCAACAGGTGCATAAAGTGATTCCCCATGGTCTAGCTGACCGGGATGGGCGGATACAGAGGGGTGACCGTCTCATATCGGTCAATGGACGTGTGTTGAAGGATGTGAGTCACAACCAAGCCCTTGGTCTGCTCAAGACGAAGAGAAAAGATGTTGTCTTGGTGGTAGCAAGGCCACTAGAGCTGGAGGAAACAGGTAAGCAGGGGTGCAGTTTGGTTTCAGGGGAAACATTGAAGGGTGCAGAGTGTGATATGACACCCCCACTCCCCATAAATTAGAAATTTAAGATGTCGGAACTACCATAAGAACACATAGAAATGGTTTTCTAGACAGTTCCAATGTCTTCTTGTATTGTCTATTAAGATAATTCTCTTTCTCTTACCTGAGAGATGTTGTAGTACCTGTATTTGTACACAGCAGTAGGTGATGTGCAAACTGCAAAGATGTTAAAAGTTCCTTAATATCAGAGTCGATTTCTTGAAAATATTTTCTACTATAATCCCTGTTCATCAAAGTAAATCCCAGCCCAAGCAAATTCTTTCATTATATTTTAATACATACCGGTATTATAACTGATGATAAAAACCAAGTCAAGTTTTAATTGGAAGTTAGTAAGGAAATAATCCTTTCTTTTTTTACTTTGGTTCATGTCCATCAGAATGGTGTTGATTACAATGCTTCTGAAACCTTCATGTATAACAATAGCAAGAAAATTTCCACCAAAATAGAGTTGAAGGCATGTCATCAAACTTACCCTAGATGTATTCCCTGTACTGTTCAATAATTGTTTCATCATGTTGTGACATAAGCTGTAATGTACATGGATGATAAAATATTTATTACTCAATATCTTAAACATGATTTTTTCATGGCTCATGTCATACTACTTCTCTGCGAATATGAGTATGTAACAACCAATCAGATTCTGTCATGTATTTTGTATTGTAGTTTAATAACTTGATATAATGTGTTTACTTTTCAGAGGAGGAAGGAGAGACAGAGGATGTGGAGATGGCCAAGGGACCAGCAGGACTAGGTTTCAGTGTAGAGGGTGGGCGGGGCTCACCCAAGGGGGACCAGCCAATCACAATCAAGAAGATCTTCATAGGGGGTGTGGCCGACAGGAGTGGGCTGCTACATGTTGGTGATGAGATCGTAGAGGTGAATGGCAGAAGACTTTCAAACTTGACTCATTTTGAGGCATGGACCTTCTTGAAAGCCGTCCCTTCGGGTATGGTGAAGCTAAAGATCAAGAAACCATCAAAGAAGGGAGATGAGAAGGATGAGGGCAAGGACGGTGTCTTGTCAGAGGAGGTTTCGGCGAGCCTAGAATGAAGACTGTCAGGAAAGACTGTGAACAAGGTTGAAGAGTTTTCTCTGGTTGTCAGCTGCGGCAGTGTTAGTACGAGTCAACGAAGATCAATGATTTCATTGCCCTATATGGATCATACTCTAGCCCTAGATGAACACCATCCAAATTTCTCTAGAAATTGGCAAGATCGCTGCCCTTTTAATCTCAATAATGACTAAGCCTGAGTATTCTCAGGATAGTCGTCTTCAATCGCATATGATATCGTCTCTCTAGGGTGTAAACAAAAGGGCAGAATACTAGAATTACAAATGTGTGTGAAGCATTTCATGCTACTTGTAGATCTAGTATATGAGGAGTGTGATGGTGAGATTCTCTGTGAAGAAAAAAAAATCACATTTGGTCAAATGATGATCCAACTAAAAGAGAACAACTCAGTATAAACGGTGCTTATATACGTTTATTGTTACATCTCATGGGTCTTGAATAGGCTGAGTAAGGGTGAAGTGTTGCGGGCACAAGTGATGTGGTTGTGTAGATGATTGTTCTTAATAGCTAGGAGCAGGATTACAAGCCAGGATCAGAGTCAAACAAAATAGAACAAAAATCCTAGAGATTAGGAAGATTTTCTCTTTTTTTTTTATCCCCTTTCAGTTGGTATCTAATGAAAAACAAATTATTTCTGGCTTATATTTGCACAGAAATAAGATGAGGGTGTTCTTGAAAAAACACACATGGCAAATGAAGGCTTATGTATGTAATGGAGATATGGTCTTTATGGAATTAATTATGTCTGCATTAATAATTCAAGTGAATTTGGACCAATTTGGGCTAAGAACAATTTGTGATACATTCTTCCATTTTATTGGACCATCTAAAAGATACGAATTGAAGTGATGATTTCGGTAATTAAGAACAGAAATGTGCCCGTCAGAGATGGGATCCTATCATGTGCTAATCCTGTTCATATGTCTCCTGGCCTGCACAGAAGAAATCATGTTCCATGTTCTGTTATGGAAGAAGTTATGATGTATACAAACCATGCATCTAAAATTATGTGTGCATTGTATATAGCCGCAACAGCTCTTTATGCACTTCCCTTCCTTGTACCAGGGAGGTGGCCTCCCTGGTTGTACTAAGCAGTGAACAAATCCACTTCAGAGTTTTATATGACTGGTAATATGAAACTGATATATCAAAGGCAACAGTTTAATCACCACATGACCACAAGCCAATATGTATTGTTTACATACAGGCAACAAAGCTGTACATTTTGCCAAGAATTTACTAATAGGAAATTACAAGTAGGAAATTACATTTGACAGCTGTTGATGGTTTAGTATGTGGCATATAAGGGTAAAAGAAGTACTGAACTGGAAAATGAAATCAATTCCATACTTGAATGGACATTATTATTGGCACAAATCTGTAACAGTGGACATATGGTATTCATCCTTCAAGAATCCTCTTGTTTTTATTTTACTTTATTTTCACCATGATTTAGAAAACCCTAATTACATGGGAGTGTTGTTAGCAATGTGAATTATTCTCACACATTTAAATTATAAGCAGCAATACAGTATGACCCAGTAAGAAAGGAAATGAGATTGAGTAAGAGAATCACGGCGATCTACTGGAGTATGGGACTGCTTCCAAGCGGTATCATGGATGGCTGCACAAGCGAGGGCGGTAATTAATAGGAGGGTGCCATAACGAGATGCACAGGTTGAAACCATTAGACCAAATCTGCCAGTCTTTGTGTGGGTGGAAATTGTGACAGAAAGGACAAAACAGTGATTACCATGGTTGAGGAGATGTCTAAAACCGGTAATCATGATTCACTACATATGTTAATTGGATAAAAGTATCAGTTTACTTTTTCACAAGTTCATTTCTACCTTTGTATCTCCTACATACCTGTTTACATACCTGACAATTATTAACTCCCCATTACAAGAGTGCCAAAATGTAGGAATGCATTGAAAATAAAGACATTGATTACGATGGATATTACAGTTATAATTCTCATATACAAATGATTTCAAATTAACTGTGCTTCAGTGAGAAATGGCATGTATATGTGCAAGTCTAGGTGAAGAATTGTGGCGCGATCAGTAACATGTACTACATCTACATGACCCTCCACCGAATGGAAAATCACTTGGATCAAACTGTTGATTAATTTCTTTCATCGGTTCAATGTTTACTCTGTCTATTTGTCATTTAAGTTTTGTATGTTGGCATCAAAGGTGTTTTTTTAATTTAGTATTTCTGTTGAGTGAGCCCTGCTGTTGATGTTTTAATGACCCAGCCTGACAAACGCATGTAGATTGTTTACCTTGAATGGTGCAAATGTAATTGATTGTTTAATCTGGATATACTCCAACTATTGGAGATAGCTGTATGTGTATATTAGATTCATTTGGTATTTTGTATAGATTGGCTTTCATGTAGCATTGTATAGTGTACAGTGTATAGATAAACTATATATAGTAATATATATGGAGTGAGAATATGTATAAAATGGTATAATGTCCTGAATAAAAACAAGCAACTTTTGTATTGCTAGTTTCGCATGTGGCTTCCTATTAAAAATATGGTACTTGAAATTTTCTTTCAAGTTTGCCTTTAATCTTTAGTGCATGCAGTTTTCAGTCCATCGTAAAGATACACAAAAATTAATTTCATTTCATCCGCAGCAGATTGCTGAAATATGTAATTGGAAGGAGTTTTTACTCATCCTGAACTTGAATGGGCACAAGTCTTTCCCTTGCCGGGGACCAATAATATTATTTGATTGACATTTCATTCCAATCTTGATCCTATGATCATGTGCAAAAGAGTATGTGGACATGTATGTAGCTGCTTTGTTTTCTTCTAAAAGAGGTTTTGTAGGGTTTATTTTTTAGTGAGATAGTAAGAGGTAGCAAGATAATGCTACATATCTTTATTAAGAAAAAGTGCAATATATGAATTGTTTGATATTGATGTTTTCTGTGTGCTGCCATGTATTATTCAGATTCCTCAAAGAAGTATTATATTAAATGCATTATTTTTCCCCCTACCAATGTGATCATATTGCCCCAAGAAACAAGATAATTGTTGGATTTGTTCATTTATTTATTGATTGATTTGATTATGAAATGTTAGGAATTTCATTTAAATTTAGATTATTACTATATGTGCAAGCTGTGTAATTGTATGATTGAATTAATTTGATTATAATTAAATGTTACAAATCATAGTAATCTTGCCATATGCGATAGTATCCAGACAACTACACAAATATTATGACAACTTTTTGTGCATAAACACGGTAATCAAATTATGTGTAGTATTTTGCTTGTTTTTACATAATATAAAATGACATTGGAAGTAATAGATGACTGCCTTAGCAGTCAAATAATGAATCATCCTGTATCCAGTTATTATCACCAACTCACAATTGTATCAATTCTGTAATTTATGGGTATTTACAAACTTTTTTGTCAGCGTGGTTGTGTACCCCCTCCCCCTACATTTACATGTGCATGTCTAAGCTCTTATGTGATGCACACACTTCATACATGTTATTTTCTAGTGCTATAGAGTTGTTACATCATTTACATGTAACAAAATTGAAATATTGAACAACTCATAAGCCAGAAGTACATGTGTGTGGTTGGTAATATGACTCACATTGCAATGAAATTAGATATACAATTTCATGATTGAATCATATTCTAATTGGCTATGTATCAACCCCTTACAACTGTATAAGTTGATCATAACATTTTGATCAGTATGGATCATTCATTTTGTTCTGTCCTTACATTATTCTTTAATACTGTGTCAAGTATATTGAATTTATTTAGGCTGTCTTCCATGTGCACTGGCGACATATGGGCGATTTTCATGGTCAAGTGTGTTCATGCTTTGTATTACTTTGATCAACTCAACCAACTTCACATGACGAACTACAACAACCAAAAATTCTGTAAGATATTTCACTTTTTGTACAGTTCAAATACTATGACGAAGACTTTGAGACAATAAAACATATTTATCCAAATGACTTTTCTTCTTCAACTTGGTGTTTCTAATTGATTTCATGTAGATGCAAGTGGATGAGGAGCTTTGGTATAAAAACATCTGTGAGATTGATGGTGACTTTAATCTGTAGGGCATTTGTTGTGAATTTACAGGGAAAGTCTGACCTTATGCATGTATCAAGTTGGTTTTCATACAAGAAAAAAAATGAAATGGCAGGATTGGTGACCATTCGAGGTTATGAATTTTGAAGTTGTATTGACAACGTAAATTGGCAACTTTATAATTTAGATTTTAAAATAGCTCTCCATTTAGTAAAATACGGTATACATTTCTGGGGCTTCAATGGAACATTGTTCTGAGGCACATTTCTATTTTTCCAAAGGGAAAAAAAGTATGAATTTGTTAGTTCACAAATTGTATGTGATCATTTGAAACTTACATTTATGAACTTTTCTATCCTTATTTGGATTTTCATCAAATTTCCATTATTTTTTTTTTTTTTACAAAACCAACTAAAGCCAAGGTGGACTTCTCTTATTTTCAAGATTATCAATTTGACAAATATTTAGCGGAAATTGGAAATTCATAACAACAACATAAATTGTACATGCAGTGTGAAAATACAACAAAAGTGAAACATGGTAATAATTGTAGACCAAAGAAATTTGTTTTTACAGTTGATATACTTTAGATTAAAATATTTTATTGAAAACATCAGTAGATTTTACAATCATCCATTTCTCTCGATGGTACCATCACCTTGAAGTATGACAACATGTAATTACAGACATTATACAGAATAAGTGTAAAACAATATGCCCACCCATTTCACTGTTCATATACATTAGATCAAGATAATGCACACACATGCACTGTACTGTATAAACCTTCTTTTTGGCTGGCTACATGTAGCATTTTTAACAATCACTGGTTATTTTTAAATCCTCTACTATACATAATTAGAAAGCCTGATAACATTTAAAATGATAATGCTGAAGAGAGTATTTAACTCTTTATTTGGTATGGATGGAACACAGGAATATGTACTCTCTGTGTGTGTGACAAACGTTGACTGAGGCAGTCCAGTCTTTGTCCCATCAGTCAACCAAGGCAAAGAAGGAGTTAGAATAGGATACAGAATGTATACTCTCAAAATATTATCTTGGCATCTCTTTCTACAGTTTCAAGAGGATGGCCTCGGTATAAAAAAACGAAAAACCCCACTTACCAAAGCTGCTCAACACAACCCACAATACATCAAGATGATGCCCCTTATAAGACACTTTTCATCTTGGCATTTCACTAAGATTATCCATTCTTGCCTTGACAAGAACATCATTCACTTCCAAAGGTGGTGTAGATCTAGAAACAGCAAACTCCTCTCATGAAAGGATTACACTGGTTCAGCTCTTTAATGTCAAATGTCATAATCGTAGCATCATTTCGATAATTGGATGCAATTTGAACCCTACAGAGAATTAGAAAGCTGCTTTGTTAAATGTAGTCTTCCACCATCAAACACAATACTATTACTTGAGACCAACAATAAGGAGAGAAAAGGCTTTGTTGATAGATGCCTTAATCAATATACAGGACATTTAATCTTTACATGTTATCTTACATTTCATCAAGACAGAGTTATCAGCCACGATGTTTGTTTCACACATCAATATTTTGACAATCATTTTTTTCATTGCTGAATTAGGCACAAATAAATGACTATATATTTATCTAAAAACAATAAAATAAATAGGTACCTATGTACAGAAACTATTTTTTCCAGTATTTGTATTAAAATAAAGTAAATTAATAATGAAACAAAACCTGTGATAGGTTAAACTACTTGATACTTCCTCCTGTACATGAACATAAGAAGCTGTACACCTAAATATAGTATAACTATTAAATGCAGTGATACATGTAGTTACAAGCTCCTTCACATTTGTTATGGTACATTCAAGGGGTAAAGCTATTTCATTTTTTATATCTTTACAGCATATATGTATCTTAAATGCAGAAAATCCAGCCATTTGAAGTACAAAGTCAAACATGATCTAAACAGAGAATTGAAGAATTTAATAAAGTATTCATACTGGATTTTGACTTTAAAAATGCCACAACTTTTCATTGACAGAAACAAAACATACATTAAATAATAAAACAAAAACAAAAACATTTAAAAAAAAAGATATCAGGAAATCCCAGTACATCAACCAACACAAGACAGACAGACGGACAGACTTGTGAATCCTCAGATGTCATAAGGACCATGAGACCGACATGTCTGGCCTCATAAACCACCAAACAAGTATTAAAGGTGGCTTGCAAAACAAACATTGTCAGTCTTCTAGGCCGGTGGTATTGTGGGCTGAAGCCAAGGTTATAGAGTTCACACATATAATAAAATCACCTTCAGAGGGCAGCAAAGCTTTGTTTATTATCATGACAACATAGCTCTGTGTCAGAAAAAATGCTTGGTAAGTACTATAGGATTTAACACTGAATACATGTCAAATAAGAGATGGGGAAAAGATAAGAACAATATAATACACTACAACGATTGCATTTATTAAATGATGTTCATACATGTATGATGTACATATGCCTCTCATAGTGAGAACAATTTTTTACCGTACAATTTTTCTTCTTCAGGTGACACGCTTCTTCTTTTTGTCTTTAGAGAAATACATCTTTCAAGCCTCTCTCTCTTCAAGAATCTTTTATTACTAATGAGATTTTATTCATCATCAACTCAAAATACAAAACTAGTATCGCTGAGCTAGACATACAAAGAAAATTGTACTTAACATTTAAACAAAGGTTTATACAGCAGAATTACCACATCTGGAGTCAACAAGATATGACACTTAGGTCTTTCAGCTAAAATAAATTAGAACAAGTGGGGGGGGGGATTTATTCAGCATCTTGTTTATGAACTTAACTAATTCGCTAGCATGATTTTGTATAGTGATTGGTGTTTGTGGTCCCTGACCCAGCTACAGAAGCAAATCGTATAATTTGAACGGTTTACTGGAGAAGGCATTGAGGCCAGTGAAAAAAATATGTCAAATTGAAATTGACGCAAAGTTGTGTTCTTGGAAAAAAAATAATACCAATTTAGCCTAAAATACAAAATACTTAGGTAAAAACTCTTTCTAAACACTGAACATAATTTTAAGTTGGTGCAAAAGTATGCCTTTTGCACAAACTTTTGCTTATGTCAGGACTCGGCTGGCTCTCCCAAGAGGCTGGAGGCAGTATTCTGAAAACCAATCTTTGTTACGAGACCAAAACCATGAGCAATTTTAAAGATCAAAATACAAAATCAGAACCCAATACATCGCTCAATACTTATGCAGGCATCACTTTTTGTATGAATACGTAGGAATGAAGAGATGGGAATAAGTAGGCGCTGTTGATTGACTATTGGAAAGTCAGGAGTCGGGCCCTTCGATTTCCAGTACAATTAGGTTGCCTCGCATCACATGCACGCAGCTAAAAAGACAATGCAAACAAGTATATGCGCAGGGAAGAGAGGTGCACACTCTAATTTCCTATTGTACGCGTTTTGAAGTGCATTAAAGTTATATTGCATGCTCGTGCACATATAACGAAATGTTTAGTAACACCTTTTCCGCCAATAAGATGCTAGCTAACAAATACTGTATTTATGTTACAAAAATATTGCATGCTCAGGCATTCAATACAGCAAAATATATCTAACTCCAAATTCAGAATTTTGTGCCATCATATTTCATCAAGGCCTCAGGCCTCAGTCGAAATATAATGGCACAATTAGGTGGCGAGTATATTTTGTTGTATTGAATGCCTGAGTATGCAATATTTGTAGAATAAAGAATAACCCGATGGTATAAGCATATACATTTCTTATAACGCATGCAATAATTGTTAAATAACATTTGAGGTATTCCAGTCTCATGCCTTGATTTGCTTGTTTGGAGTCGGTATTTAGATCACATTCAGGTAGCCTTTGCATCGGATGCGTGTAGCTAGGACAATGGAGAAAATGGGTATACACAACTCAGTAAAGAGAGTTGCGCAGTCACTTTTGTATCTGTTTTGTCATGCATAATGGTTGTTCATGCATCTGCACACATTACAAAATGTACACATACATATACATGTATGTAAGTCAACATTCCCTAATTTACAAGCAAAAGAGTAACAAAATTTCTTCAATAACCACATAGATCCTATCCAATTTGCTAAGTGAAAAGGGGAAATATCCCCCATCTCCCCCCCCCCCCCCTCCCACAAAAAAGTGAAAACGAAAATACGTATTTATACGACCACAAAATCTAGAAGTAGATACAGAAAGAGAAATTAAAAGAAATAATGAGGATAAGAAACAAAGAAAAGTAACAAAGAAAAGCAGGAAATGCAAGAAAGAAGACATTGAAGGTAATGAGTAAAGGAACAGAAGAAAAGAAAAGAAGAACAATTAGTACCACAGGGAAAAAAAATAGAACAAACATAATACTGGTTATTTGTAAATAATTCAATGATAAAAATAAATCTGACTTTTAAAAAAAAGTGTACAGTCAAATCAAACCTAACAGGAAATTATTAAACTGAGCCAAGTAGAAACAAATAAGTACACATCTGTGACTCTCTTCTTTCTATTCAACAGGACTATTTACCGGGTGTATTAAAAAAATGTAAATGAAAAGATAGAACTGTATTAAACATTTTTCAAAACAATGATACTATATCCAACAACAAAAATGTTGTATAACATAAGAAAGCAACATTCTTATGAAAATTTCTGATTCTACATCATATATATAATATATTACTGTATTCAGAAGAACAAGTGGAATAAAATATTGTATGTACAAAATATCTGTTCTTCTTCACAAATGGTGGTCTGTTCACTTTCTTATCATTATTTCTAATGATTCTCTAAAGTGTACCAATCACCAATACATGCTTTATTCATGATTCAAGAGCTTCCATGTGGCTATAATGTGTTCAAAATATGAGCAACAAAGAGATAATGCAATTTAAATACATTACCAGTGAACGAATTTATGTCTTGTTGAGTAGACTAGTTAACATATGTGTACTCACGCTCGCATAGAATAGGGCACGCACAGGACCCAAGACAGACTTGGGTTCTGTGCATGCCCTATACCAGTGGTTTTATGTTATCCTTTTCTTTAACCAGCCCCCCCCCCCCCCCCAACCGTAAGAATATCTATAGAATACCAGGTAAACTATTTGAGGTTGATTTCATACATGCAACTATGCAAAAAAAAAATTAAAAAATCAGGTGATTGATACACTTTGAAGCTCTGCTCAGTCGCTACCACATCATAATGATTCATTGGCTTTCGCTTCTCACAGGGAATGGTCTACTACTTCAAAATAAAATTATAGTAAAATTATATATTTTCTGTGTGCTGGGTATTAAACTAAATTTTGGGCACACAATGGAAGTAAAAACAAAAAAGATTAATATAAGTTAAAGATATCTGTACATGTCAAAAATTGCTCAATGCCACGAGATAGAGGCTTAAAAAACATGAGGCGATTGTCATTTTCCAAAGTTCATAATTTTGGAGAAACAGATTTCTCATATCCCGATATTCCATACGTCAATAATGAAATAATCGTTTTTATTCTGAACATTTGGTAGATTGATTTAAGATTCATTATTCTGAAGTTTAGTACATCAAAAAAACTGAAACCTATTTTTATGACTATCATGATAGAACATGTAAATATTTTACCCTATAAATGAATTTCGCAAGTTGGTCTGCCTATGGCCGCAATGAAATGTTATTAATAAACCAATGCGATTCAATTTCTTTTGATTTTATTTGTAAATGAGTTGTAACAAGTCATTCACATCTGCAGTTGAGGTTACTCTTTCGCTCTCCCCTTTTTTTCAGTAATTGGAAGCCTATAGGATTCGCGTGCATTTAATTGCCAATACCTAAAATACACTTCTGTCATTAGAATGTTTAGTTTATACCAAATAATAACAATAAAGGAACCTAAAAACACAGATGTTTGGTAAGGAAGTCTGAAACACAACATTTTTCATAAAGCCTAAGCACATGTATCCGACCTTGCTTTGAGACAATGCTTGAATCCGAAGAGGACATGTGGCTGCTAAATATTTAGAGCTGTTTGGTCATCTCTCTAGCACGTATCTCTCTAGACCACTTGGTAAAGAACATGACCAAATCGGATGTTCTCCTGGACTGCATCCACTCAAGAAGAATGATAACTGGGTCACAAATCTTATGTTTTCTTCAAAAACATCATATTCATTTAGCTGGTGTCCATGTCTGCTTCATCTGTGTAGCGGTGAATGAAGAAGGAGTCTGTCACTCACTCCAGCTCAGTGTACAGTGAGCACAAACTACAAAGGAAGGCATTTGGACTGTAGTCATTGAATGAAGTCATCCATGCTCGCTGAATGGAGTTGAAGAAAGTAGTGGGTCTGTCTGTCACTTCAGCTAATACAAGTTAGTTCATGGTGTGAATAGAGGAAGGCACCTGATCACTTAATGAAAGCTGCTATGACAGCCCACATTAGGTCGTTACATCCTGGCTTCTGACTTTGTACCTCTGGGTCGGAGTCCAGCAAGGTCCTCACTCTCCCTGTGGCCACCTGAAAGATTTCCAATTTTAATTTATCAATTTTATAAAATACAAATATATCATATATGGAAATCGCATTATAAAGCCAGTGGCTTGCAATAAAACACAGCGATTCTCCTTAAAATCATAGTAATTAGAACAGCAAGATGGTCGTTATATAAGAGAGAAGACTGTCAAGATGGTTCCAATTCAAAAAATATAAATGAAAACATGTAATAATATGTAGATACACATGGCACAATTTTTTTTCTAATACATAGATATGTTTTAACAAGTTAAACAAAAATCAACAACAATTATTTTTTGTAAGTCCAAGCCTTAGAAATGGTAGAACATATACAAAGGAATGACGGAATGATGATGATACAAAAACAATGAAAAACATAGGAAAGATAGAAAATATAAAATAAAGAAATAAATAAGGAATACGCAAAGAACTGACGGACCAATGGAAAAGTATACAACAAAATCAATGATATTATGCCACAAAATTGTGCAGAAGTAGGAAGAAAAAACAAATCAACTATTTCAAACTCTTTTTTAACAGTCCATTGAAGCAATTAAAATTTATGATTTTAATTCCTTATTTTGAATCTTGGTGATTTCAACCAATTTGAATCATAATAATTTAAATTGCGCCAACCCTGCACAAGAGAGTCTTGCAGGTAAACATTAAAATTTATGGCGGATGGCATTTAGATCCCTCTGTCTCACATCCACCTATGGTGAAAACTAGATAGCAAGACATGTACACCACTCTCACCTCATAATCCTCATCTGATAATGGAGCAAAAGCATTTTCCAGGACGTCTGAAGAATGAGCAAGGTATAGTAAGGAAAGCATTCGTCTCTCGAACCTGGCAGGGTCGTTAGGCCACCGGTTCAACACTGACTCCTGGACTTTCTTGATGATGCGCTGCTTGATTGTAGTGTCTGTTACAGGATGCGTGGTCATGTCAAAGAGAACAAAGTTTTGTTTCTCTGTGGTCAGCACACCTTTGTCCACCAGATTCTTGGCCAGTCGTTCTCTGACATTTCGCAGCTGGTATCGGAGTTTCATTGGATTCCATGTTTCCCCTTAAAGTAAGAAAAAAATTGAAATAGCTAATGAATTAGATACATATCTTTGGCAGTAAATAAAAGGTAATGACTAAAAATTGATTTTCACAGAAATCAAACAAAAGTCACATAGCAATGGTGATCATAAATTTGCAATCATGAAAACGACCACATGACCAAAACCTTTTGAGAAGAAAAACAAATATTTTGAAAGAAAAACATACTTTTCAGGTAATTAAAGGGACTTGGTAACATTGTTCAGATGAGAGATAGTGGTTCTAAGGTAGTGACTTCAATGCTAGATGTACAATTAAAGATAATCTGAACATTTGAGTGAAAACGGACCATTATTCATAGTACAAATTGGGAAAAACAGATCTGATAGATTCCTTAATTCTCCCAACTAGGTCTAGATCTAGATCTATAGAACAATTGTATTACATTTTAGGTGAATGGAAATCTCACAAAGCAATAAAATGGTTCTACATTCCATTTCAGACATTTAAGTGTTGACAGATTTTTTATAGCCTGTTTTATGTCTTTTTTTCATGGAAAAACGGTTGGGAAAATTAAAAAATGGTTGGGATAATTTACTGTTAATCACTGTTAGAGGATGCCTCACATCGACGCCTTCAAAGAAAACCATAGATTTCTTCGTGGTTTGAGAATTTTTTCAGGATATTTTGCCTGTCAGAGGGTTAGTACAGTAGAAGGAATATAGTAAGTAAATAATATAGTATACAAATTAAGCAATTTTTTCATCAGCCTTCAACAATGTTACCAAGTCACTTTAACATTAGTCCTAAATTAAAGAATACAAATGAAATGTGCCATAAAATTTCACCTAGTTCAATTCTAGCCAAGTTTTATGACTGTAGAGAGTCGATGCAGTATACTATTGCCCCGACCAGTTTTTGGCAATCGAGAACCCATTATGATGGAGGACTTAAAATACTGAATGGACTCTGTAAATAATTATTTCACTTACCACTAAGGAGTTCAATCCAGGTGGGCACTGTCTCTGGTTGATCTGTTTCTTTTATAAGTTTGAGTGCCTCGTCTAGTAGGACATCACCGGTTGGAGCATCATTGAGCAGTATAACTTTCCTATTGAGTAGGCTGCGCCTCCTCATACCAGTCTTTTCTAGTTCTACTCTCCCTCGCAACCCCAGTTCTATTAGCATACACCCCCTTAAACCTGATGATATACAGTCATTCCAGAATGATGTGTAACCCTAGAACAGAGAAAGAGAGAGAAACACATGCACATATATTATCAAACTTCAATTAAAGAGCATACATGGATATTAAAAAACAGTATACCATCCAAGGCTATACCTAATCTGCATTGGGTATAGAAAGATGTGCATTCAAGGTAAATTTAAAGGGGAATTTATATGACGGTTGGTGTTGGTGTTGTTGTTGTTAGTGTTAAGAGCAGGGTCTTGGTCTTTGTCTTTGTAAGGGCTCTAAAATTTAGGGATGCGAAGAATAAGTCAAGCTTCGTGGTACCAAGTAAGGATGCGACGAGTACTCAAATACTCGAGTACTTGCACTGTTGACAACTACTTGAGTACAATTTCTCGTACTCTAATACACAGCCGCCATTTTTTTTGGTGAAAAATTATGCCCCTCCACCTGGCACTGTGCCAGCCGGCTGACACTCAGCCATGCCCAAAAGCACCAGCATGGTACCAAGAGTAAACATGTTTCCCAGCTCAATCATACACAGGGTGTCACTGTTAACTCACCACTTAGAAACTACTACTAAACTACATGTAGCTGCCAATGTCCAGATTTCTGTTTGAGGATAATTTGTCTGTCATCTTTAGTATTAAAAACAACATTGTTGTACTATTATTTGTGAGGAGTTCACAAGCACAAATCGGGGCCTTCAATTGCAACTCATCATAAAATTGTGTGGGTTTCGCAGAAGGATCTGGGGTGTCTCCTATGACTTTGGCAAAAAAATTAATAAATTGAGCAGCGCCATCTCTTGGCGACTGTTGGCGTAAACATGATTTATCGTGGCAAGGAGTTATGAGTGCTGTGCAGTATGGCCTAAAATCACCAAAAATAAAAAGGCTAGGTATTTATGTATTGGTTTTACACATTTTTTTTCTTCCTACCATGTCTAAAAATATAGGGGTCTGTAAAAAAAATATATACAAAAATTAAAAAAAAGTTTTAACAAATAACAAGTAAAAAAAAAAAATCTTCTTTGTTTTAATCATTCTAACACTTTCTCTTTCTGTCTTTCCTTATGTTATTCTTTGTTTCTTCCATCACATTCTCTTATGTTGTTCTTTCTTTTAATCATTCTATCACTTTCTCTTATGATATTCTTATGTTTAATCATTCTATCACTTTCTCTTTCTGTCTTTCCTTATGTTATTCTTTATTCCTTCCTTTTATCACATTCTCTAATGTTATTCTTTGTTTTTATCATTCTATCACTTTCTCTTTCTGTCTTTCCTTGTTATTCTTTGTTTCTTCCTTCTATCATGATCATCTTCTCTCATGTTATTTTTGTTTACATAATAGATTACGAACTCGGCAATCTTCAAATGCCATAGAGAATAAAGATACAGTAAAGTAAGAATTTCCAGATGGAGAACAACAAAAAGAGGATCCAGTCTGGTGGAATATGATTATAAACAGAAAACGAGTGGATGACATGAACAAATACTTAGCTTTGTCTTTGATTTCCGTAGCAAACGCAGTTAATTGTATATTATTGCGACCTATGCTCAAAACAATGGCCGACAGTCGGCCGTAAACAATTCCAGAAAGCGCGCGCCGAAGTTGACCTATACTTCTAGGGTGAAACTGCGTAGTGTGATGCTCAGTGGCTGGGCTCGAAATGAGCTAGAATCAGCGTTGATGAAAAATCGTTTGAACGCTCTCCCGCAGTAACTGTGTTTTGTAACAGCGTTTTGATTTGTGATTTGTGATTCTAGCTTTAAAAATTGCTTGAACACATGCACCCTGTCCCTTACCTAAGTAGTACTACTACTAGGCCTAGAATCTACTAGTAGTAGGGTGTCTGATCGCGCACCCGATGTTGTGTGCTAAAATTCTTCCCATAGAGATTACATGTATCCCTATGCAGCCTACGTGCATTGCGCGACCATGCAAAAAAAGTCAAATTTTTTTTTTTCAATTCGAGATTCAAACCTTTATCTATTGTGATCCTGAAGGTGATACTCAATAAATGAGGTGTCATATGAAAGAGCAGGTGAATTCCAATATTTCCAAACGGGCGTAGCCCCCGAAATTCTAAAAATATCTTGGCCAAAACAGCAATTTAAACATTGTGTCCTGGCTAACTCTGAGGTTTGTCACTTTTGAGATATGACGCCCCGATCGATAAGTAGTCCCAGTCCTAAGGAACAATTCTATGTGCTTATATTTTCGCTAGCCCCCAGGGATCACAACTGATAACAGTTTAAAAATACCCTTCTCGTTATTTGGTGGATCAGCTAATTAGGGGGCGTGCGCTCCGCTCAGTCCAAACCATGGTTACATCGCATAACATCTCCGCGTACGAACAAAACCCCAAATTCAATTACACATTATAGTGAATGAAAGTATGGGTGGCCGTTCGCAGCATAGAACCCGGAAGTGAATACACATTGTAGTCAATGGCAATATCACGTTGTCTCCGCGATATTGCCATTGACTACAACGTGTATTCACTTCCGGGTTCTATGACGCGAACAGCCACCCATACTAGTCAATGGCACATATCGCGGAGACAGCGTGGCTCAAGCATTCGCGCATTGGCTTAGCAACATGCGTACTATATGCATACGCTTGCATATCGCGCGATACGGCTGTTTGTCTGAATTTAGCAGAACAACATCACTCTGCGTGGACGTCTTTTTCGTCGATTTTGACCAAAATGATATGAATATACCAGTGTTTTGGAGGGGCTGTAACTTTTGATAGAAACATCGGTGAGACATGAAATTTGAAATGTATTATTCTGATAACATTTTTTATTCAAATATCAAACAAAAATGGTGAAAAACGATCCCAAATTGAAAATTGAAAAATCGTTCAGACACCCTACTAGTAGTAGGCCTAGTAGAGTCTAGTCTAAGTCTACTCAAATTGGCAACTTTTATCGGAGTCAAGCTAACTCGGACCAGGGGACAACTCGGCCCAGCTGTAAAAACAGTCATTTTTTGCATGTTTAGGTTTAGGTTTAGGTTTAGGATTAGGATTAGGATTAGGGTTAGGGTTAGGGTTAGGGTTAGAGTTAGGGTTAGAGTTAGGGTAAAATGACAAAAAATGACCCTTTTTGCAGCTGGGCCGAGTTGTCCCCTGGTCCGAGTTAGCCCGGATCCAAACTGAAAATAAAACTGACTGAACATGTTGAAATTAAAAAAAGACACTAAAAATTATCTAAAAAGTAAAATAGTCTAGGTCTACCTTCCTGATGGCTTGATGCAGAATAACTAGACTATCATGACTATAGGAATAACGATGCACGTCTGCGTGAAGTTATCTACCGCAATGAATGAGGATATGAGACGTAAGGGATCCGGGCTAACTCGGACCAGGGGACAACTCGGCCCAGCTGATAATTTTTAGTGTCTTTTTTTAATTTCAACATGTTCAGTCAGTTTTATTTTCAGTTTTATTTACAAAATTAACTCTTTTTAAAGTATTATTAAGATGTTAACTGGTTATGGAAGCAATGACTAATGTGGGCAGAAATTGTAGAATTACCACCGTATATTTTATACCTTACCTCTCTATCTTTTAGACCCAATAATAAAACTTCTTCCATCAGCGTTAGTCTCGTTTCCTTTGACTCGCCATCATCCTCTTCTTCGTGATGATACGTGTCTTCGTCCGCTTCATTACTTGCTTTTCCCCCTTCAGCTCCTTTCGCTGAAGTAGCTTGATGCCTTTGAACTAGAGTGCTACCTCTTTGCGTCAAGGAACTCATGATAGAATGTCAAATATTTTAACACAGTGACTTATCTTTGAACAAATAATAGTTAAATGATTCTGCTTTTCGTGGGAAAACAACACAGCCACAGGCTAGCTTTCCAAAATGGCTACGTCTATGGATAATGACGTCAAATCACTGAACGAAATTCAACGACAGATGGCGTTTCGAATCTGGGATCTGATGGGATCAGATTATCCAGGATCAGAGGAATTGCCACCGAATATAGACCCAAATTTAGTGCACTTAAAGACCGTCAATACTACTGGGCCAGAAGGGATTAGACCACCCAGCCAGGTCACTGACAGGTGGCTATCTCATCAACTCAGCTCTCAACTAACATAAGAAAAACAGGATCATGGGGGACCAACAGGCACCGATTGGGGAAGTTTTCTTTACAGAGGGAGCAAGTAGCTACAAGTAGGACAGTGGGGCTTCAAATTTCATTTTAAAGAAAATCTACGTCTATTTGTTTAGCAACTTTGACAATAATTGTATCGACTTTTCGACAGATATTGGTATGCCTCACACATTTCAATAGACCATTTTCGTTATGTAATCAATTTTCATTCACAACGGTGTATTGAAATAGTCAGAACGCGAATTCGCATACATTAATAGATATAGGAACACATAACGGTGGGGGGGGGGGGGGATGTAGAGGCCACCAATTACCGACAAATATATTAATCCCAATGTCTACAAATCTAACCCTATAAACCCGGGGCCAGGAGCTAAATTATATGTCAGTTCCTCCCCCCCCCCCTCCCTCCCCGCCCTCCAGCGCGAAGCGCGAAAGCTTTGACATTTCATTAAATTATTAGAGAAAGAAGACGATTCGTTGTACTGTTTTCGACTCTTAATCCTTGTCTGAATTCATCCCCCCCCCCTCCCGCGCAAAGCGCGAAAGTTTGCCGTTTCATTAAATTATAAGAGAAAAAACAACCGTTCTCTGGCTCTTAATCCTTGCCCGGCCCCCACTCAGTGTTATTTAGGGTACGCATATGCGTGTTCCCTCCTTTTGAAAACACCCCCTAAGTCCGGTGTGTAAAGTCTATGTAGTGTAATGTTCGAGCCGGACTTTGGTGCGTGAAAAGTACCCCTTTACCGGACATTTTGGTAACACGCATGCGGTCATTCCGACCCCGGAGTGGGGGGGGGGGGGGGTGGGGGCCGGGAATCCTTGTCTAAATTCAGTTTTCCTCTCCCGCGTGAGGCGCGGAAGCTTTGACTTTTCATTAAATTATTACTCTTAATCCTTGTCTGAGTTGAGTGCCCCCCCCCCCCCCCCACTCCCCCCTCCCCCGCTTATGCTTTTTTATTAAATTATTAGAGAAAGAAGACGCTTCGTTGTATCACGGTTTTCGATTACCCCCCCCCCCCCTCCCGCGCAAAACTCTCTCTCTCTCTCTCTCTCTCTCTCTCTCTTCTCTCTTTCTTTCTTTTCTTTATTCTCCTTTCTTTCCTCTCCTTCCTCTTTTTCTTTTTTCTCTTTCTTTCTTCTCTTCTCTTCCTTTCTTTCATATCTTTTCTTTCCCTTTCCCTCTCATTTTTCCCCTCTCCCTTTTCTCATTTTCCCCGACAGCAGAGCAAATTTACCGACAATATCATGACAGGTGGGTGGGGGTGTCGCACCCCCACACCACCCTTTAGCGACACCCCTGCCCTCATCTCCGGTGTGTATAAGTCAATTCGGGCCGGACTTGTTGCGTGAAAAGTATCCCTTTACCGGAGATGTTGTGAACACGAATGCGGTCCCTCCGACCCGAAGTTACTCCTTTTCACTTCAGATAAGTGCCCCTTCACCTCCGAAAAATGCCCCTATTCAAATCTGAGAGATACTTGTTTTACTTTGACAAGTGCCCCTTCCCCTCCTGATAAATGCTCTTTTCATCTATGATGAGTGTCCCTTTTCACCTCTCATAACTGCCCCTTTTTTCTCAAGTGCCCTGTTTATTTTAACATATGCCTCTTTTTCTTTTGAATAAGAGCCACTTCCTCCTTTTTTTAAAAATAAAAGTCCCCTTTCACTTTCGATAAATGCCCATATTGTGCCCCTTTTCTTTCACAATTTCCTTTTCACCTCTGATAATGATCCTTTTGTACTTTGACACGTGCATGCTCCTTTTCTTTTTTAATAAGTGTCTATTTATCCTTTTAAATATGCTTCTATAAGCGCACTCCTGAAATTTTAAGCGACTAAGAGCAATTTTCCACCAAAGCTCGCTCGCATTTATAGTTGATATAATTATGTTACTTCTACCGTTATGCGAATAATAACAATAATATTAAAGAGCTGGATTCATAAACCGCTTAATACGGAATACCGTCTCTAGGCGTGTGTACATCTATTACAACACACGGTCATCGGATTCATTCATGCACAATGTGCACCATCTCCACTCCGTGTGGAGTATTTCTATATAATGGCCATCGTAAGGGCATAGGCAATAATACTAACCCAAATGCTTTCGTCAGCCTAATGTGGAGCTTAACACTTCATTACGACACTTATGTGCTTATGACCCCATCAGGGTTGGGTTTTTTCCTTTTTATTATAAGAAGTAATTTTGTGCACTGCGACCTCACAATTTTTTTTAATTTTCCTCGCTCGCTAATGCATTTTCAGACCAACCGGCGAAGTATGATGATTATAGGTATTACAAAGTTTTGGTATTGGGTCATGAATTTGGTTCAAATGAACATATTGGAAGCATATGCGTTCCTACAATATTCAGTGATCGTTGTCGTGGTTGAAATTGAGTCTAAAGTGTTATGAAATTGTAAATAATAAACTCTTTATGTTGTATAGCTCCCTCTCAAGGTCAAGATATTGATTTAGCAATGAAACAATGTTTCTTGACTAAAACCGACAGATTAGCTATTCTTGTTTAGATATTATATATCACAACTACATATTCTGAGATTTCCATGGTCGCAGCTACCATTGTACGGCCGTAGGCGCTATTTGAAATTTCTCAAAATTTACCGGGAGCACCGGTAAATGTTTATATTTAATTTTTCTCGAAAGCAGAAGTGTTTTAGGGGCTCATTTTTGTAGTGCTTATAATACATCCACAGAGGCATCCAAATATATCAAAATTGTAAAGAATCACCACCCACCCAATTTTCAAAATTTCCAAAAATGACTTTGTATTACCTTTAAGCAATATCTTGTTTGGTGCATAACAAGAAACAAAATTGAAATCATCCCTGATAATATAATCACAATGTATAGGGGTATACCAATATCTAAAAGAATGTATATATTCGCTTTGAGATTTCCCTTTGAAGGTGCCATTGTTGGTGCCCCACCCCCCCCCCCCCCCCACTTTGGAAGTCGCTCCGCCGCCCCTGAATATACCCCATCAATCGCGGTCGCATAATTTTACAATGCATAATAATAGTTAAAATTTGTATTCATTTTCTCAATTTTCTCTATCTCTCTTTAGCGTATTTTTCTGCCCCCCCCCCCTCAAGGGGCATAGTTAATATGTTCTACCGTGAGAGAGGCATCTGTTCACTTCGATGCGACGCTTTTTTTTAAGGGGTTTTGTAAGGGGTCATTTATAAAAGCCAGATTTGACTTGTAGGTATGGGGGGGGGGGGGGGGGGCTGCAATGATGAACAAAGCATACAAAACAGATGCAGTCATATAATATATATCAAATAAAAGGAATGTGTTTTTCCATGAATGATGATAAATGATAAAAGATATTAAAAGGGGGTGATTGTACCTTATGATATTTATCTGCTTATTGTGCTACAGGAGATGCATGATTTTGTTAACTATAATTTATTCTTTATTCTTTTAATTTTCCAGGAACATAACTATCACATGACAAAATACATAAACTATGAAAACATACATACATAACGATAATATTAATAATAATAATAAAGAACAACTACAACAACAATTAATGCCCACGTACTGCCAAATGGAAATGAGCAATTTCTTAATAAGATTGTTGCAGGAGGGGCACTCTCCATGATTTTGGAGAAAAAAGTGGGGTGCATCAGCCTTCCCCTGGTTTTGCTGCTGCTGAGTGACAATATTTATGAAATCTTAACTTTTGATAACCAGTCAGGATGGTATGGGTGTGTCTGAGAGAACAGATGAAAAAAATAGGTATGATTAGCTTATGAAATCAATTAAAAAAGAATATATGGTCTAATTAGTACGTACCGGTGTATAACAAACTGAACCCCTTCCCAAGGATATAGTTTATTCGAATATGTTCTATTACAAGAATGCTATCCGAATATGCCTCTTGATTAATCAGTATAGGGTGAAAATATGTGAGGTATTGCCATTGTAACGGATCAATCAATATACACATTAACAAATAAATAACAAATATAGCAAAGATAACAGCACGATATGACAAATAATTATAAGTGTCTTATTTGAAGAAACACCGTTACATACTACTCTGCAAGTGAATTTTTGAAAGTAGAATTTGGTTCTCAAGCGTATATCGAACGCTTCTGACAAATCCATGAATACACCTACATGTTCTGTATTTGCAATAGCATTCGTTATTTATCATATAATTGTACTAAAGCTAGATCGGTTGAATGTTTTTCCTTGAAACCGTATTGATTTAAACTTAGCAATTGAAATATATCTTTTGAAAACCCGGTAAAAACCTATATAAAGCCTTTTGCCAATAATCTCCCCTATATGAGTTTAAGTATGCTAATTGGAATAATGGGAATGGACCTGTAATTAATAAATTAATGTGTATTATCTTTTTAAAATACAGGATTTCCCTAGGCTTGTGGGAACTCGGAACATTCCCCGTTGTTTATACTATTAATAATAATAGATAGATGGAAAATGTGAGTTAGAGGAGATAATAAAATGTATAGAGGGAAGCACTAATTTTAGCGCGACCCTGTGATTTGCTTGATTTCAGATTTTTTTTTAGTGGTTATATTTGGATTTTTTGGACTAAAAAATGATGAATTTGTAGGTTCAGGAATAAATATAGTGACATTTTTATTCGATTTATTAAGTTTATTATGGTTAAATTATGGGCATTTGTTTACAAAAAAAGGGAATTAAAGCTACATCAGAGTTATTCATTGTAAAATTATAATTGGGCGATTTTTGTGTTTTCTTGCCTATCAAATCATACAAGGGCCCAGGCTGATTTCATATTTTATTCCACTCTATATAATACACTTTTCAGAATAGCAAACAGTGGCGGATCTAGGGGGGGGGGGTTCGGCGGTTTAACCCCCGGCCCCCCCCCCCTTGGGCGGCCAAGTTTGGGGGGGGGGGTGGAGAAGAAGAAGAAGAAAAAAGAAGAAGAAAAAAGAAGAAGAAAAAGTAAAACACTAAAACGGCGCGATTTTTGGAAAATCCTGGATCCGCCACTGGGTCCACCCCCCCCACCCCCTTTGGCAAAAATCTAGATCCGCCCCTGGCACATTTTACGAGAACTTCGGATACTTACTTGGATCAGGGACGTGATAGAGAAGGACTGGAATCAAGCCGCTCTCCTTTGACCCCATGCTCCAAGCCGCCGAAAAGTTATGCGCTAATCTGCAACTTTTGACCAGGTGGTGAGATAAAAGAGCGCATGAAATTTCAGGATTTAGAATTCCTACATCAGAAAATGGTATCACAGCAACAGTTCGCTGTCCCTTCCAATGATTTCTCATCCATTGTTGAATGTGTACAAGTAAAACAAGCGAACACAAACTTGTGTAATTTTATCCTTTTTTAAACTTGAAAAATACAAAAAACACGCGAAAACACGCATTAGCAAACTTAATGTTATTGAAGATTGTAAATCATGGATCAAATAACGGGACATTAAAGCATGCACAAATTAGCGCATCATCCTAAAATATTGAATTTTTGACAGGATGTAATTTTTCTTTTACCAACTCTGGCACACAAATTAAAGGAAGGACGGAGTTCTAAATTTGAAGATTTGTTTGATGTACTATTCCCAATAAAATCCCCATATAAAGTTTTTGATTTACACTGAAATTTTGCTGGTAATTTAATATTTTGTAATAAATGTAAAACTGGTGCCTGGCTTCCGAAAGTCCCCGCAGTGGAAGCGCGGTTCGGAGCATGGAACTTCAAAGCCAAGTGGAATGTTACACATCCCATTGTTACGCTTTAGAACTCAAGAATGCGTTTGAATAAATTACAAGAGTTTCGCCTCCTTTTCTTTCACCTCCCTGCTTGGATGATGTTATGATTCATTCATTTCGGTTTTATTTTGTTCCATATGTTTTATAATCGTTTTTGTTTTATGCAGTAGGGGTAGTTAGATTTTTGTATGTATGGGTGGTAAACTTGCAGTAATATATTATTCATGGCATTTTACTGCGTTTTTTTATTTTTGATAGGTTGGGACTAGAGGAAAAATTACAGCTGTAGACTAATTTCCTTTTACAATTTTCGCATGCAATGTTTGCGTTAGACTAGACCAAGGAGTTCCTTGGTTAGATTGATTTAAATATGGACAGCTACCGCATTTCCAACAGCCTGGAAAATTCGGTTAAAAGGGTCAACTTTTGCGGCTGGAGAGTAAAGTCTAGCTTGTTCCGCTCCGTTCAACCATAACACAGAGCAGAGTTTATGCGGTCTTTGACTACATGCGACGTTGCTAAGCAAGCTATTCGAAAGGCCACGAACATCGGTACTGGATTTTATTAACATTAGTTCTCAACTCAAGTTAGGTTGAACGGTAGAAAATTACACACAAATTATCAAAATGAGTGTTAGGTCTTATAATCCATCTGTACGAGTGGGCAACTGGAATGAGGACACATGCTTAGAAGAGGTGAGAATCAGATATTAATTTGCCATTATTGTCAATGCAAACCAATGATCCTGATGTCATTTCCGCATGTCATGTCTGTGAGTGTGATGATTGAAGTATGATTGAAATTGAATGATCATGATGATATTGATAGTAATACTTGCACTTGCAGTTATTGCCATATTGCCTAGACCTAGGCCTAGGGCTAGGTCTATAGTATTGCCTTGGCTTAATTGGATTGCTGTAAGACAGCAGATTAACGCTATTCTACAAGGCATTCCATTATCAGAAAGCTGGTGTGGATATCCCTGATTAGGCCTAGGCCTAGATCTATATGTTCATGAAGCACCAAGATCTGTGAGAGAGAATATCAATTGTCTAGTCCCACTACAATGCCGAACAAACGCGTACCTGAACAGCTTCATACCAAATACAATAAGAGACTGGAACAGCCTCCCACCAGGTGTCAAAAACCTGAACTCTACACAAACCTTTAAACTATGCCTCCAAAAGAACCGTACATCAATTTAAAATGCACATGACACCCCCTCTAGACGTAAGTGCTTTTAAGCAATGTCTGGACACCGATTCTGAGATTCTTGGCTTTGCCTTTGATAAGAAATAACACCAACAGTAACACAGCCTCTGGCTCGATCTGGTATGGCAACTAGCTACATCACATAGACTCTAGATCTAGATCTAGATCTATAGATCTACAATGTATATAGACTAGGGTCTTTATAGGCCTAGACTCTACATACAAATTACAAAGGGACAAGTGACATTTTGTCAACCTTCTCCATGGCGTTGGCATTTCCATTTTTACCAGTCAATTTGCTTGTAGTTGACGATATCTTTCTAGACTCTATATTTCATTAGATGTTTGGGGGGATTGTTCATAGTTTAGAATATGTTTTTGTGTTCCAGGTGGAAGTTTTGTACCCTGATGTTGTGTTTCCAGACATTTAATTTTAATATGAGATTTTAAGATTTTAATACAAGCGATACTTCATAAATTTTCCAAGATTTATGTTGGACAATATAAAGGACAAATTATTAGTCATGATGGTTAGTGCTATTTCATGAATACTTTTTGTTTAATCTGAAGACGAATTGAAAGGGACGGCTTTAAGTTTGTTAAGTGTCAGGATACCCCCCCCCCCCATGTATATAAATATCATTCTCTTGCAGAGGGTTTCACTGACCTAGCACAGACTGATTTGTGAAACACTTGATGAGTTGAGGGACAGCATTGAGATATTTAGTGATCTTGTACCAGACCTGTACTACAACAATCCCCAGTTTGATGTTAAAGTGTTGGCATATTAGTAACACGTAGACTGACTAGTATTACATGTATATGTATTTTATGTATTTATGTGTTTATAGGTATTAGGCCTATGTATTTATTTGTTTATACAAGTAGGTATTATTTATTTATTTCTCCTGCAGGACATGGTGAAAGACTTTCTGGAAAAGAAAGAAAAGGGAGAACTGCTCATCCAGAAGGCATCTAACCTACGGAGTACCATTTTGAAACCAGTGAGTTCAAACTTTAAATTCAATCTTTATCCCTTTAAATGGAGGGAAATATGATTGCCATGCCTAAATATCTTATAGTGGTCCACTAAATTTAAATTGTAGATACAGGAACTAAAAGTAAAAAACTTCAGCTAAAATTCCTTTGCATTCTCATTCATAGTTGAGGGCTGGTATTACATAAGCTATCAATCTTCTCACTTTTTTAAAGGACCTATTTGCTGTAGCAGTACATAACACATTATGAGTATTGCCCTGAGGGAAAGAGTGGTCATAGAAAAAACTGAAAATTATTAAAATTTTAATATTCAACAATTTAGAAAGTCATCCACATTACTAAGCTCCATCATAGTGAAAAAAAATACATGGGGCTCAGGGCGAATTAGCCCCCTAAATGCCCAAAATAGCCCCCGAAAATCAGAAAAGAGCCCCTTGTAAATTTGCATAGAGTTCAATGCAAAACAAATTTTAGAATGCTATTTTCATGCAGGCAAGCTTGAGAAGTAGCCCCTGAAAATAAATATTAATTTTTTACCTGTCCATCTGTATAATATTATATCTGTATCGGGATACCGAAAATGTAATACCGACTATATTTTGTATGCGTTATTCTGACTCTTACAGCACATTGGTTTATTGAAACAATCCCAACGAAAGACCTGTAGACGCTCAGATGATGGGGTCAAGTGTCCCTTATTCATGCATATTCACTTATGCACTCGTAACAGGAGTTATTTGTGTAATAATGGAATTATGATGATTTTATAGGATGAAGAGGCTAACTCTCTGAACTGACTTTACCGACCCAGTCAGGGTTAATACCTGGACTAAATGTACATTGATAAATACAGCCTAGTATAGATTGAATTAGAATCTAAATATGAGAATGCTCTGTTTATATTAAACCACAGAGCGATTTGTCCGTCACTGTGGATGGATTTGTCCATTTTGGAGACACAGTGGTGATCATGAATGAGGCAGCTGCAGACCAAGTCCGTACCCAGCCTGGAGTGGAGCCACGTCAAGCTAATGTTCTGTCTGTCAACATGTCAGAGACCAAGATGCATGAGACCATGAGGTTTGAAGGAACCTGTACAGCCTCGGCAAGCAAGAGCCTCAATCCTTGTGTCAGGAACACCTTTGTTATCGCACCGTAAGTCAGTGTTGAGATGTGCATGGGGATTAGAGAAGTACAGAAGTTCAAGATCAAAGTTTACTTGTTTACTTAAAGTTCTTATTCATTCATATCAGTTTTTTAATGAATCCAATTATTACACAAGGAGCTATATGAAGTGCTTGTATGAAATGTTCTCTAAATTTGCAATGAAAAATTTCCTTGTTTTCAAGTGGGTAATTGTAGTTAGGTTCTCTGTTTCCCACAAAGCAGGATTTTTTGTGGAAATCCTGGAACTGTCATGTGTTACACACACATAATTCAGATTGAACACCCTGGGAGGCAAGAACAACAAATACTTGCACCTATCAATCATAATTAGAGAAATTTGAGCCTAGTCTTTTAATGTACGCCACATGGTTTTATTTTCAACAATTTTGATGGTTATATGGGACCGCGTAACATGATTTAGTACTATGAAGGCACTATTTATTCAATATATGAATGCATCACAAATCACTTCACAGAGAGCATTGGAAAGGTGCATGGCTAAAAAGTTCAACACCATTTGAAAAGCCATTAAAGCTTGTTTGAACTCGGTTATGAGAAATTTTGAAAGTGGCATCAACAAGCATTTTGGGAAATTTTTTGTCTTTTCTATTTTCAGCCTCTTTATTGTTTTTTGTAATATTTCTATGAATCATGAATTGTGTCACATTATTGGATTCCTCAGTTACGATGATATATAAGACACCTTTCGTTTACAACTTATCTGGTTGGTAAGTTATATATTCAGAAAATGGCAATTTTGGAAATGATAATACCCGGTAGGTGCCATTTTGTTTTTTTGTCTGTTAATCCTTCTAATACTTTGAATCTTTACTGATGATTTTGTCTGATTCCTTGTGTCAAAAACTTGTTTAAAAATGTCAGTTAGCTGGTCTATTGCAAAGTTATTTATGAAAACTGACAATGAACACCATTTTGGGGACAGCATCTTGGATTTTGGAAAATGCTTGAATAAAATTTGAGAGCACTTTTATTATGTTTCTAAAAATATTCCTAAACCTTTTCTGAAAAATTTGGTTATGAGCCTTAATTATCCAGGATTAAGTCTTATCAAGATCTTATGCTCTTGAATATATATTTTTTTAGGGCACAAGATGGCATCCCACCTGGAAGCCCTCTCACTTATGGTCAGCACTTCAGACTCTGCACTCTCCCTGGTGTAGGAGGCAATGTAAGTTCACATGATAATATATTTGTAATCCCTACAAATTATTCATCTCATTTCTCCAAGGTGTCTGCATGTACGTGGTAGAAACTGCAGTAGATGTTACCGTCACTGTGCCCTTTTCTTAACTCTTCTATCATCCTGGATATTTTGGTCATACCATGAGACAGAAAGCCTTCTCATTAGAATATGAATTGTCATGGGGCAATTATGAACAATCAATAATAATGAAAGAAGTCAGTTTAACACTATTAGCATCATTATCATAGGGCATTCCATGTAAAAGCCATCACAAGATCACTTCTGAATGTATCTTCATCAATTTGACAACAGTTCCTTGATTTTATGGTGACCTTTCTGTATCTTGACTTTTCACTGTTATCAATGTAAATGATGTAAATATATATGGAATGTGAAATATGTGAAATAAAATACCTAGGTAAGAGGACAAAGAAAAAAAAATGGTGACAATTCTGTATCTTGACTTTTCACTGTTAAGTTTACAGCATACCATAAAATGATCTGACGTACATGTAGCAGATCACAAACATTTGGGCAGATTAGTGTAGCACCAACTTCCTGTGAAAGGATTCCATTGCAAATGTCTTCATATCCATGGTTTATAATGATATTGTGGTGTATGTTTTATTGACAGCTTGTCCTGCAAAGCGACAGAGTGTCCTTCCATGCCTCAGCTGAGAAGTCCAGAAAGCAGCTTATTTCCTTTGTAGATGAGGTCCAGTCTCCTTACCTGACAGAGTGGCGTATCCTCTGCTTCAATCCCCAAATCAGAATGGAATCGGAAGGATTGCCCGTCCCTGTAAGTCATGCATTACATTTCATAATACAGTCAAACCTGTCTATAGCAACCACCCAAGGGAAACACAAAAAGTGGTCTTTGTAGACAGGTTCCTTTAATACATGTTTTAATGAGAAACCCATTTTCAAGGGAAACCAAAAATGTGGTCTTTGTAGACAGGTGGTCACTAAAGCAGGTTTGACTGTATCAACAAGAGGAAATTTCTGTATATTGTGATCCAATTGTGGAAGAAGTACAGAGTATGTGTGAATAACTTTTTTTTTAAATGTGTTCTCACAGAAATAACTAAGATGGGGCTTTCAAATTATAACAACTTGACTTCAGTGAAAGGATTTTCATTGTCTCTAATATTTGTTTGCAAATAGGTTATCCATCATACATGCAGTCACATATGCAGTCATTGGCTAATGATGCACTAGAAGATTTGTTTGTAACAATTTTTTGTATATATTTATTTTATTTTATTGGGTGTAAGCCACAAATATGTTTAAACAAGTTTAATTTTGTTATGACAATTACAGTTATTTGAGGATCAGTTGTAATTAGACTTACAAGAGTTCGTGCAATGAGGAAAATTGAATTTCAAGAATTGAAATATGATATTAAGAGATGTACATGTAGATGTAATGAATACACTGATAATGTTGTTTAACGTTTGTATATCTGATGTACAGTGTAAAATTAGATTTTGTATTTTGTTCTAAATATGTTTTTGTCCTATTCTCTTTCATTTGATATGTCCAGGCTAACCAGAGAATCATTTTCAACCACTGCAAATCAAATGAGGATCTGTGTGTTGTTAGTGGTATGTCAGTGAGGTATGTTCTTTTTTCATTTTTATGCCTCCGCCACCGAAGGTGGTGCCGGAGGCATCATGTTTTCGGGTTGTCCGTCCGTACGTCCGTCCGTCCGTCCGTCCGTACGTCCGTCCGTCCGTACGTCCGTCCGTACGTCCGTCCCGTTTGACCGTTATCACAATATCTCAAGAACCATTTAAGATTTAAACTTAAGACTCGGGAATAGTATTTATCACCATAGGAAGACGATCTGATTAGATTTTGGAGTACGTAGGTCAAAGGTCACAGGTCACAGAGGTCAACTTATGAAATTCCTTGTATTGAGTTTGTTAGCGCGATATCTCAAGAACCATTTGAGATTTAAACTTCAAATTTAAGGATAGTATGTATCACCATAGGAAGACGATCTGATTAGATTTTGGAGCACGTATGTCAAAGGTCAAGGGTCACAGAGGTCAACTTATGAAATTCCATACATTGAGATTGTTATCATGATATCTCAAGAACCACTGGAGATTTAAACTTCAAACTTAGTGATAGTGTGTATCACTATAGGAAAACAATCTGATTAGATTTTGGAGCACGTATGTCAAAGGTCAAGGGTCACAGAGGTCAACTTATGAAATTCCATACATTGAGATTGTTATCATGATATCTCAAGAACCACTGGAGATTTAAACTTCAAACTTAGTGATAGTGTGTATCACTATAGGAAAACAATCTGATTAGATTTTGGAGCACATAGGTCAAAGGTCAAGGGTCACAGAGGTCAACTTATGAAATTCCATACATTGAGATTGTTATCATGATATCTCAAGAACCACTGGAGATGTAAAAACTTCAAACTTAATGATAGTGTGTATCACCATAGGAAGACAATCTGATTAGATTTTGGAGCACGTAGGTCAAAGGTCAAAGGCCACAGCGCACATTATGAATGCAAAAACAGCTTGTGATCGCGTTATCTCAAGAACCGATTGATGGATTCATGCCAAAATTAGGTCATGTTTGTTACTTGCAGAGCCAATGAACTGAGTAGATTCTTGGTTCATAAGGTCAAAGGTCAAAGGTCATGGGCCCATTATGTATGCAAAAATAGCTTGTGAACGCATTCTCATTAGAACTGACAGATGGATTACTATTTAACTCAGAACATCTTGCAGAGCCAATGAACTGAGTAGATTTTATGGTCATGAGGTCAAAGATCAAAGGGTCATATATGTATATGAGAAATTGCTTGTAATCACAATATTCTGAGAACCTGTCAATGGATTACCATTGAACGTGAATTCAATTTTTTTTTTCTGTTTTGGTTTTTAAAATTGCTCTATAACGGAGGCATCATTTTCGACTGCGCGCAGTCGAATTCCATCTAGTTTTTTTTATTACAAGCTTTATTACACCATTAAAAATAAATATATATCTTTTTTAAATGAATTAAATGAATTAATTTTTTAAAGAGAAATATCAATTGAAGACATCAAATTTAGGATAGTATACTTATATTTTACTTATTATTTTACCAAAAAAATGATGTGAAAAATCCCCTCTATTTTTCTTCAATAATCTTTATACTAAAGTGAAAGAAAGCATTAATGCTAACAAACTGAAAAATTTCATATCTTTTGGCACTTGCAATTGAAGCAAAAATGTTAGCTACCTCTTGCTCTCTCTCCCTCTCTCTCTTTTCTTTGAAAAGAACCTTTCTTCATTAGGTAATGCTCATGACTCTGTAATACATAAAATAAAATGACATAATCATAGAATATAACCAAAAACATAAATCTACATATTGCAGGATCAAATGAAATATCAAAGTTTGTTTTACAGATGGGTTGTGAAAGGTTGTGAATTTTTTTTAAAAATAGGCATAAGCTTTAATAGACCATGAATGTCTTTCCACAGCCCTTGCAAAATGCTTGGGTGGTGAAAAAAATGATTATTTTTCTCTGATTTAATATGCAAGAGAGCTTAATTTGCTGCTGAGTATTGACAAAATATTGTCCATATTTTCTTCAGTTAGTAATTAATTTAACTTCTGGCTGAAACTGGATTGGAGCTTCGAATTGTAAGGTTTCTAGTACTTGGCCTAGTTTGGATTAGCGCTAATATATCTCATACAAACAATGATTAAAACTGAATTTTCGGCAACCCTTACCTTGCACTTGTGACAGAGAAGTAAAAAAATCAGTGTTATGCCTGCAGTTTTAACATAACCAGAATCCAAAATATTTTATATTCTCTATAATTATGAAAAAACAATATTGCCAACTATATGGTGATAAAACTACAAATTACACCATGAACTATCACCCTTGCACTTTTGTAACAGAACCCCATTTGGCAGGGAGTATGAGGTAGTGGCCCACACAGATTTGGACTCACACAGAGCAGAGAAGGATGTTAACCATTGGATTATCAAGACTGGTGAACCAGCACAACCCACCACGTTGGCCAAGACTTTGCCCGTAGGTGATCAACAGTGAGATCTCATGAGATGTGGTCTCTACCATTCACACCTTAAAGAATAAATGAAGGAAAGATTGATGTCACCGACTATTCAAGCTTGTTTTTGTCTTGTATTTATTATCATATGAAGTTATATCACGATGCTCAATTTAGATAAATATTTCAATAAAATTCAGGTGTTGCAACTTTAAAATTGTAAGTCAAGAGGATTTAATGAAAATGTATTAAAATGAATGATTTATGCATCACCTTGAACTGCTTACAGAATATGTATATAGATGTGAATTTATAAATATGTCATCATTTTATTTGATATTCCTTTTTATCACATGTTCTGAGTGTCAAAATACATAATTTAGAGAAGGTGGTTTACATAATGGATTTTTGAATGTATGTTCCTGTACCTTTATTTAAAAAATGTTAAATGTTGTTCTCTTGATATAATTTATGACAAAAAGGTGCAATGCAATTCCGTCCTGAAAAGTGTAGACTGAACATGAACTGAACATGAACATCTTCATCTACCATGTATCACATTGTCACATGGTACCACTGTACATTCACTTTCTGTGAATCCAATGGAAGTACATACACTTTTTTTTGCTGAAAGTTGAATTTGATTACTGTAAAAGGTGTAGTGTGTTCAGATTTGATCAGAATTAATCAAATTGTTTAATGCCATGGAATTGTGCATGTATGATTAAATTAAATCTGATTTATGTTTGTTTTCATATTCAGAGTTACCACTGCTATTTAATTGAACATTTTATATGTTGAATATATTGAGCACCAGCAAATATTGTGAATGATTGGAGTACATGTTTATAATATTGCTTACTTTAATAACTATTCTATATTGTTCTCTAGCTATGCACACATTTATTTGGTTCTAGTTTGATTGCTTCCACTGTCTCATGATCAATACATCGAATATGCAGGCTTATGCCTTACAGTATTTTGCAGTGTATTTTTAACTGTCACATTTTGTTTCATTTATATTCATTCATGTCAATTCTATGCATAATATATTCTTCAGTATTTTCACAGCAGTAATTTTCCCACCAAACATGTATTAATATGAAATAATTAGCAGTATTTGTGCTGCCACTTCAGCCACATTCAGATGAGATATGGTAAACTACCCTAACTAACCATGCCACAAAATGACATTAAATATGTGTGGGTGTTATAGGTTACAATTTTATACATAAAAATGTATAGATTTGTGACCCATGCCACAATAAACGAGGATCTATTTTTAGACAGTACTTGTCTGACATGTAAAGTGGTGTTTGGCGCCTTTGTAGTTGGAGTGAGACATTAGCGCTGCTTCTGACTGCAGAGAGGGAAATGGCATAAATATTTCCTTAATCACTCACATTTCAAATGAACAGTATATGTCTCAGTTTCATGAAACTTACACACAAGGGTTATCAAAGATAATGTGGAACAAATGTCAGGTAAAAAAAAATGAGGTCTTACACAATTAACCTTGGGTTAAATATTGATCTACAGGTAGACAAAATCTGCAAAAAGGCTTTCTAGGTAAACCAATTTTGTGCAATGTTGTGGCTCAAAATACAATTTTCTTAAATTCTTGGTGCACCTATATATTTGGTGTTGGAAGTTGGTATCCTTTAGAACAGAATTTGTCTGTAACCGATAAATGATCCCTTTTTTCAAGCCATGATCTTACCTGAATTTAGGGGACGCATATTTGAGACTGTCTCATTTGTCTTTTTTCTTGATAAAGTTCTATACAGGTGATTTTTTTCAGATTCTTCTTTGCTTTGTGAATTGAGAAATGCACCACAAGATCAATGGAATTAGTATTGTACAATTATATACATTGATGACTTGTTTTAGCAGTAATAAAATGCCTAATACATATGTGGTTTAAAACGAATAAGGAGGAAGAAGACTGCACAATTTTAAGATGTTTGATTGTTGTATGTTGTCAATGTAGATCACGTGTACATTCAGATAAGATATTGCATATTTTCATTTTATCATTATTGTTAAATGTAAATACAGTTTAATTAAATTACTATAAAGATAAACAAAGACAATTGGTTTGATTTTTTTCTTTATTACTGGTTTTTCTTGCTATTAAACATATTCATCTTTTGATTATTCCAATACAATTTCAATTTTATCACCAAAGTGGAAAAAAGTTTATCCATGTCTACATGCATCAATTTGGCAATGAACTGTATGTATGAATTACCATACAAGGTAAGGCACAATATTGACAAATTTTTTAAAGTTCTGACACACCTGCAATGTATGAGGAAGGAAATCAACCCCTAACTTTCACTTGGAACAACATAACAAAAAAGGTCTTATAAAATTGATTTATTAATTAAGGTATAAAACAGTGAGTCGTGTGTCATGATGTCCACCTTTTGTGTAACGTGGTGATTTTTGCTTCCATTAAACTGCTACACATGTACCGGTATGTATTAAGAATACACCTGATAACAAAAAAAGTATACAATTTCTAAATTGAAAGTACACAAGCAATGTAAATATGCATTCAAAAAGGATATAAGGCGCAGGACAAAGGGGTTACATGGATCTGAATGTGGGAATTTTTGCGTATTCTTTGTTATCTTATTGTTTTCACTATAACCTTTCCTCTGCCCCCCCCCCCCCCCCCCTCCTCCTCCCTGTAGCATTTTGTTTTAATTCCTTGCAGAACACATCTGCAGCTTTACAACAATATATAATTGTTTAGGGTTCATGATCGTGTAATGTCCAAAGAACAAGCAAAACAAAACAACAACAATAAAGACAATCACACAAACTTTAGGCAAGAATAAATGAATGAAATGTCTAGAATAATCATATATTTAGTGTTACATCCTATGTTATTGTATCGTCACATTTTTTTTTTCAATCATGATAGTTAAGTAGGGTTTAAAAGCTTCAAATGCAACTTGGTACCAAACTTACATTCGTAGGCCAATGCCCAGATTATCTAACTTCAAAAGTCTACACCTAATTTGCCCACTATTCAAGTGGTCCTATCAAGAATTTGTGACCTTTTGAATAAGTGTCACAGCAATTATATCTGAATTATTATTGATCCTTGATTACATGATACCGTAAATCTCCGTGTATAAGACGCACCTTTTTTCCGCAAAAAAAATTAGAAAGTTGGGGGTACAAGATTTTTTTTTTTAAATTGTTGATTGATGCCTTTCCACCTGGCAATGTCTCCCAACTCAGTCATACACAGAGTATTGACTCACCACTCAGAAACTAGAACAACACTAACCTGTATGGCCAGATTTCTGTTTGGACTTACAGGAAAATTTGTCTGTCATCTGTAGTTTTAAAAACGACATTCTTACTATTATTTATGACAAGTTCAGGAGCAAAATTTGGCACCTTCAACTGCACCTTGCAGTACAATAAAGGTCCTTCCCTGCTTAGGATTTTTAACACGGACCTGGCTTGCTGTGTACACAGTCAGCATTTTTCTTTTTTCTTTTGCCCAAAAAATAGGGGTGCGTCTTAAACACAGAGATTTACGGTATGTACTGGTACTTTTCCTCCCTCTTCTTTCCATAATCTTTCTTATTGCTATACTTCTTCCTTCCCTGTCTCATTCTGCCTTATAACTCTAAACTCTTACAGTCAAGTGATGGTTTCTGTTATTGTCTAGGTATACACAAAACTGAATGCATGCTCTTCTTCAATATGATGTTTATATTTCTGGCATCCTTCGTATCACCGTCCCTTTATCAGATGTTTTTCTCATGTTAATGGATTCATTATACAAAAATGACCTCGCACTAATTGCAACAGAAAATATTTCAATTGTTCTACTTTCGTAAATATGCACTATAAAAAATATTAAACTTCCTAAGAAATTTGAGTTTTGGGCCAAGCAACCTTGTCACTATACTATTATCAAAATATAGGCTTCAAAAATTTTCTTCTATAAAGACATATTGCAAGTTCAAAAACACTCTCAATAAGCCTCAAAGTGACTAGTGAGTAGAATAGTCGACATGCCCTTTTGCACTCGTAGCAGAATAGATCCCAAGTCCAACTTGGGTACTGTTTTGCATGTTTTTATATTTTCCTTTATTTTCTTTAGACACTTTAACCGTTTACTCATAGAATGCCAGGTTAAATTTGTTTGGGTTGATTTTGTAAATTTCGAGCTGTACACAAATTATTTTCTTAGGTACACTCTCAACTGACTATACTAGAGACTACCTGTCAAATATCTTGCCTGCCAAATACGTTTGCTTTTTCTCCCTACTCTGCCTCCTGACTTGATGCCACTCGTGGAAAGGAATCTGTTGAAAGATTGAGAAGTTTAAAGGAAAATGAGAATGTCATGTCATTACAAAATATTTCTTGACGCAAAAGTTACTTAAAGGAGACCAATCACCCACATTATGTTGCTCTGTGTGAGCTTCAAATGCTACTTCTATACAGGGATACTGCAAGTTTAAATAGACTTTGTTAAATACACATGACATGGACTTGTGAGGAGACTGGTAGAACAGGGCATGCACTGAAATGGGTTCTGTGCACAGGGTCTTTATATTATCCTTCACTTAATAATTCATCATTCTTCATAATCTGTTAATCAGAAGAATACTTGGTGAAGTTTTGGATATTGCAAATATAGTAACTTTTAATTTTCTGTTTTAAATTGTTCAAATTTTCTATTTTACCACTATGGACCTTTAATGTTATCCGATTAGTGAATATGTCAAAGGAAGATGTTTAGCAGGTTATTTGTATCGGCACTCAATGATTGAAGTCAATACATGTAAGTAGCAACGTAATCTTTATTTACTCCATTTCTGTATCTTATGTTAATTATTGCTTTATTATTGATCTTTTTCTATTGTTTGTGATTTGTTATACTAAGAAAGTATTTTCAAATTCAGTTCAGGTTTTAATTGTTTCAAACAAAGACTGTGCAGTAAAAAGAAGCTTCACATAAAATCCTCCAAACCCTTTGTACATCACACATAATGAAAAAAAATCTGCCTTCAGTGACATGTAACCATTAAATGTTAGGTAACTTGATACTTGATACTTGATGAGGTAATCCCTGAAGCAGCTTTTCCAAGCTATACTGGGATGGGATGTGTTGTGACAGCAGGTGAAGGTGCAGACAACAAAAGGGTGTACAATTGCTTTATACAATAAAATAGTGACGTGCAAGTAAAAAAAAAAAAAAAAAAAAAATAATCATGCTGCTATATGGTTTACAGATAGTGACGTGCAAGTAAAAATAATCATGCTGCTATATGGTTTACATGTAACACCATAACCTCCAAAAAGATGCGCAGAACTCTATCGGTATTACCAAATTACCTCTACTATTTGGTAACCAGCAATCTTGAGTTGTCTTCTCTTCATGACATGAACACCAAGCAGCTCTGAGGAGTCCTTACGGTAGTGATTGGCCAAGGCTACTAGCACAGCTAGCTTGGTGGTGGACTCCTCAGTCCTGTTCCTGCTCTCCTGAAGGTTGATGGGTTTATTGTTGTCATCCAAGTGTATCTCAATATCTGTGGAGAAAGATGAAACAGTTTTAGATTTTAATATTGACAAGAAAACACAAAAAGACATCTTGGCACCCTATTCTTACAACACTTCTGTTACTGCATTCAGGATGTCTGCCAAACTTTGCCAAACTTTTCCATACTGCAGGTATTAAATTCTCTAATGATTATTTCATTTTCTATCGATGATCAACACCTCCCCATTCTCCTACAATAAGGGACTGTGGGGGTAGACTTTGATTAGGAAATGAGAATGTCTGACCATGTCACCTACTGATGCTGTACCCTCATCTGGCAATGTCAATCTTAGTCGTATCAGAGGGTACTTGGTTCCAGATACATATCATAATAATGTTAACTTGTTAGAGCAATTGTGTTCTCCCCTATGGTGGATGCTTGCTTGGGGATACCAGTTAGCAAGACCTGGGCAGACTCCAACATCTCAAAAATAAGTGTGCTCGGTTAATTCGTCAAAAACTAAAATGGTCCCATGCTACCCCATTGTTAAACAAACTTATATTGGCTTCCAGCTGCTGAGAGAATACAATACCGGATACTTGTTCATACTTTTGAATCTAAGTACGTGTAAAAATATATAAGTGTTAAACTAAACAAGCAAATTTGTGGTTAAAATCAATAACTTTATTGACTAGATCAACTTTCAGAGATGCACGCCATAGTCGATGTATAATCAATATATGATGACCATAAAATGCCTATGTTGACTGAAGAAACATGACTTATGGCATAGAATGTCACAAAATACATACCGGTAAGTAAAATCAGAAAACAAGGATTGAGGAAAAGGTGAATGGAAATACATACAGTAGGCTAGAGCAAAGAGTGCATAACACAAAGGTAAGCAATCAATTGCAACCTTGGAACTACCATTGTAATTGGTTTGTGGTCAGCTTTTTTAACAAGATGTGCATGCAGTGATTTAGATTTGCCATTGCCATTATGCGATTGATCACAAATCTTTGTGTAGTGCAGCCCAGTTTATACTACACCATGACACCTCAAGATTTCTTACCTACAGGTGTGCGGATGTGGTCCAAGATGGGGTGGACCTTGAGAGCATCTTTACTTCCAAGCACTCTAGCCAGGATGGGAATGATTTCAGCATATGCTTGCTTTTCATCTCCAACTACCTTGGACGAACCATGGGGTACCAGCTTGGACCGTGAAGCAATACTCTACAGCAAATTGTGAGATAATAATAATAATAATAAATATTTATAATATAGTATTAATGACTGCTTTGAGAGAAATAGTTGTTTTTATACGCTCAAGGGAAGGTTAGAATTGTGCTATTGCCCGAGGCGTGCCGAGGAAAGATTTGTGTATTTTGTTTTGTAAAGCGCCTTGAGTAACTCATTAGATAGTGCGCTTTATATACCTCACTTAAGAAATCCAGCCATCTGATTGGTCGAAATTGCATTCATAAACTTCAACTATTTCTGTAAAATTCCCAGTAACCATGGTTAAAACAGTTCTATAATCCCAGTAACCATGGTTATTGGGAAAGTAGTTCAGTCTCCATGGTTACCCCATAGGTTTACATGTTAAAAAATGGTCTGAGCGATCGAGGATACCGTACGTGTGCGAAGAATTGGTCGGTAATTTCAATACAATTGAATCTCGATCGATCTTAACGACAATTTTATCTTGCATTGTTTACATGAAGACGAAAATAAACTTCCAAAAACAAAAAAACAACATCTGCCGATAGATCTTGATCTAAATTCGTGCCAATATGCATTGCAAAAGTAAAAGAAGGGCCTGTTTAATGGAGCATCCACCACGCGAAGCCGTTTTCAATCCATTTTAATGTATATAAAGAAAAAACTGCTATGTATGGTAACAGAGCGCGATAGCCGAGCGGTTTAAGGCGGTGATTTTAGTTACAACAACCTTTTGTATGCAAGAGATCGAATCCCATCTTCGACAAAAGTTTTTTTTTTTTTTTTTTTTATTTATTCATTTTTTTTTTTTGGCATATAAAAGTATTCAAAGCAGTCATTAATACTATACTATTTCTCGAATATTAAAGCAGTCATTAATACTTTTATATGCCGAAAACAAAAAAGTCAACTAATGACACCACCTTGGCCTTTCTCTAGTTTATCTGCACAGTTGTTTTTTATGAGTGTATCTTTGAGAGTAGACTAGATCTAGATTCTAGTCTAAGCAAGATATTTTTACAATTTTGGGGGTGGGCCGGCCCTGTGGGTAATATGGAGAAGAACCTGCGCTTTCATATGACATCTCACTTATTGAGTATCACCTTCAGGATCACAACAGATAAAGGTTTGAATCTCGAATTGAAAAAAAAAAACTTGACATTTTTTGCATGGTCGCGCAATGCACGTAGACTGCATAGCGACTGCATTGCGTGCAAACTCTATGAGAAGAATTTTAACACACAACATCGGGTGCGCGATCAGACACCCTGACAACTAGATCTATTTTCGTCTAGAGTCTACGTCTATGCTTTTTCAGCAACTAAACGAACATGTTTATGGATAATTTCACGTACCCTTTTTGTTGTTCTTGCTGTCAGCGAGTCTTGCATTTGATAAGTTGAAATCTTGGGAGAGTTTCTTGAGCCATTTTTGTCTTGTTTGGAATTGTCGTCTTGTATGAAAATACCGACCAATTCTTCGCACACGTACGGTATCCTCGATCGCTCAAACCATTTTTTAACATGTAAACCTATGGGGTAACCATGGAGACTGAACTATTTTCCCGGTAACCATGGTTACTGGGATTTTAGAACTGTTTTGACCATGGTTACTGGGAATTTTACAGAAATAGTTAAAGTTTATGAATGCAATTTCGACCAATCAGATGGCTGGATTTCTTAAGTGAGGTATATAAAGCGCACTATCTAATGAGTTACTCAAGGCGCTTTACAAAACAAAATACACAAACCTTTCTTTAGAATTGAACGACATAATAGCATTTAGTAACATTAGTAAATAAAAAGTTTTTAACATGCTTCTGAAAGGTTTTTAGGCATTGAATGTTTTGAATGTCACTTGGCAGCTTGTTCCAGAGGACTGATACAACATACATGAATGCAAGATCACCTTAATGGGTTGTGCAGGTTCTGTTGACTTCTAGGATGGTAAAGACAGAATAAAAGAGCGACTAATAGGATTGATTTATGGTGAGGAGATCTTTTAGGTACTTGGGTGCAGTCAAGGGCGTATCGAGGGAGGTGGGGGTTGTTTTGGGTGTTCAAACAACCCCCTCCCCCCTTGGCAAAAGGGGGTGTTTTATAATTATTATTTTTTTGCTCAAGGGGGGAGGGGTGGATGTTGAGAAGGAAAAATAGGTCACTGAAATTCTGAATTTAACCCTGGAACAAAAATCATACCTAATCCGAAAGCATGTACTAAACCCTAAAGTTTACCTAACCTAAAACCAAACCGCAATCTTAGCCCTCCATCTACTTATAAAATAAAGTCTCATTTGATCCGATTATTCTGATATCCTTTCATACACGTTTACCTATCAAATCAAATCAAATCAAATAAGATATTATATACTGTCAACAATACGGTTACCAACCTTGGGGAGCCTTGGACCTTTGTAGTCTGGGCATTCTATAGCGATAGAACAATCTAGGCAATAGAGGTGCTTGTAGACATCAGGAGGGCAACGACCTGTGCAGGAAAGATAAAATCATTATCTATATGATTTTTCTGATATGGTTAAAAAAGCCAGGGAAAGCTTTGTCTTCACTGCAAGTATTCCATGTATATTTATTAAGATAAAGGGTTGATTCTTTTCCATTTTGGGGTTGTTTGTTATAAATAAATCATTTTGGTGGAGAAATGATTCATTTCCTTTTCTGCACCCCCCCCCCCTTCAAATGAAACATTATGTTCTCTTTTGAGAGGTACCCTAAATTCCTCATAAAATCTTCCTCAACACATCATAGCACTACCACATCTCTTAAAGTTTACACATGTCTAGAAATTAAGAAATGAAATATTACATTGCTCCCTCATAAAACTAATCTGGTCCCTACATTTGTGCACAAAGAATACTAGGATAGAAGGTCAAACCAAGCTTACCTGCATACTTCTTGAGGTAAACAGGACTAAATATCCTATGAATAAGCTCCACTGGATATTTCCCTACAAAGGAGAGAGGCACTAGTGTCTTGACAAAGAGGAATGCACTATTATCCGTCCACTCTTCCTTTTCTCCTATTCTTGCAACAGCTGCTTCTAAAAAGCTATTAAATTCATCAGGGGTGTAGTTTAGTCTGCAAAATGACCAAAGTGTGAGGTAGTAGTCTTTCAGGTTTGCCTTGGAATGATCAAAGCATCTCAATACTTCATCAAATAGAGGGGTGCTAACAAAGGCTGCCCTTGCAAATACCCCAAGTATATGAGGCAGAGCAAGATAGCTCATCTTCGGTATGTGTGGAACTAGATCTTGAGACAGTTTGATGTACAGGTCTGCATCATAGTGGTAGGATCGTCCGAGGAACCTCATGATTGTAACTACATTGTACTTCTCAATATCTGTCTGGAGTTGGATGTCTTTGGATAATGCTGCAGATATAACAGCTGGTAAGATGCTGTTGTGTGGGAGCCAGCCAGCTACCTTGATCATACCATTGCAGATTGTTGCAATCTCTGTGATGGATAATTCATCCACAAAGTGCTCTGCAAGGAGGACAAGTTTATCCACGAGTGGTTGAGCTGGTCGCTTGAACTGTCCACATAGGTAGAAGGCTTGCACCATCTGTTGGGCTGATAGCTTGGTCCAGGATGGCCTTAGAATGGACAACATCTCCCTGTGGAAGGTCCATGAGCTTGCACCTGCCATGCATATCCACCAATCTGTCACCAGTAGCAGGGTATTGATATCCCATGATGATATCCTTTGAAGACACTCTTTCTCTATGAGTGTGTTCTGTGAAGCACTCAGACTTAAATCCCACCAGTAGAAAATCAACAAAGATTGTACAAACGTTTCAGTTTCCATATCTGGCATAGCTCTACACAAGTATTCTCCCAGATAATCCATTGCTGATGATTTCATCATTAATATTCTTTCAGTATGTGGTAATTCAGAAAGGCACCTGATATTTCTTGTGACATTACCCTGTGATATCTTCTCACTCCCATTCTCCCCTAATGTTGTAAGAAAATGATGGACATGCTTTCTGTTTGACTCAGACTCTACGCAAAGTGTATTGATATAATCAAGGGATAATCTTTCATATGCCTTGGATTCCTTTAAAAAAGCTCTTTGTTTAATCTCTGAACCTTTAAATCCAGTGTCAAGCTCTTCATCATCACTTGGGTTTTCTTCCAAGGGCAAGGCTGAATCTGTCCATGGCACTCCCTCTGGAACCTTATCACTCCCACCATAGATAACCTCTAGTACATTTGTCCGTATGGCTTTAGTTTTGTCACGCATGATGTTGTTTCTAGAACGTGTTGAATTGGTCCTAACACACGTTTTCTGCCACATTTCATCCGGTTTCTTGATTGCTGCTTCAGCATGAAACATGAATCTGTAACCAGGGAGACCATGGCAAAGCCTTTGTCTGAGTACACGATGAATGCAGGACATCTCTCCTTTCAGTATCTTTACAGCATAAGAGCAGCTTAAGCTAAATGACATGTTAACCTGTGCAATGAAGAAAAAAAACAAAGCCTTCAGTAGTTTGTACATGGATAGAGATGATTAATCGAATAAACTTTTAATGCAATAAAATTTGCTGAGCTCTCAAAAAAAGTTCTGATTGAATTAATTGCAAAAATGTACAAAGAGAGCTTATGAGGGTTAATTTCACTCAAACAGCTTGAAAAAGTGAAAATCTAAGAGAGTGGTACCACTACATATTAGGCAACAGGTTATACAAACATCTAATTTGCATATAAACATTTGTTACAAACGTCATCTGAGAATTTATAAAATTTGAGGGAATTGGAGGTTGCTTGAAATTTGCAAGTACCGTAAGAGGATACCACAAGTCATATCCACTCGAAAGAAGCCCCCAATATTATTTCTATTTAAGAAATATAAATGAAACCAAGATATTTCATGACTCCCAGTTTTAACATTTATTTATCAAATAATTATGTGATATGATTTGTAAAAGGATACCACAAGTCACATCCATCCGAAAGAAGACCCCAATATTATCCCATATTTAAGAAAATAATGAAACCAAGATAATTCATGACTCACAATTTTGACATTTATTCATCAAATAATTATGTGATATGATTTTTTATCAAGGTTATGCTTCAAAATGGACAATATCTATAGATATACGTACACAAAAATTGACACCGTTCTCATGGGTCTGTAATACAGACTGTATCTTTGGCAACTTTTCTATGCCCGGCAGCCCAATGTATGGATGAATAATATTTATCTCATTTACACTTAAGGCAATAAAACGTTATTCAAACTGTTTATAAACTTGTACAATACTTTGTAGTAACAACAATAAGCGCTCAACAGCTACCGGGTAATAATTAAATGAGAGCTGGAATACAACAAAAAAGTTTTGAAATAAATTTCATTTTTCATTTTTTCGCTGCCTAGACTTATCTTTATAGACTAAAAAATGATAAGTTGACTTAAAGATAAAGTTGAGTTCTAGTCATGCGATGGCATTGTTTAAAGAAACGGTGTGGAATCAAGAGAAAAGGTTGATCATCTATATAAGTATTGTTGTGTAGTACTGCAAGGTTCTTGAATCATCGAAATGATAAGAAATTTGGCTTAGTCTTGGTAAAGTTACAAGCACTGTACACAGCAAGCGCAAGATGTTCTTCCACACTTGCATTATACAATGATAATGCTCACAAATTATTTTTCACCTCTTCCCAGAACTCAACCTTCTCTTTAAATTAAATGGCTTTCTAAAAAAGATACGACAGGTTTGGCCATAAATGGCGATATTGGAGCCGACCCTACCCAAATCAGAGGCTAACGAACGAAAGAGATAGAAATTTCGGTCTAGGTTTTTACTTGCACTGGACTTACTCCTAGACCTAGCTCCTTAGCATATTTTAGTGTTTTTACTGTAAATTATCAAGTGCTTTAATTGTCCACGCACCATTCCAGCAATTGCTGACACTCCGTGTACTAGTTACTCCTCTCACCTACCATCCCAGTATAGCTTCCTGAGCTGAGTGAACTGCCAAAGGGATTACCCAACCAAGTACCAAGGGCCCGGCCCTGATCTGATATCTGACATTAACCATGGCCTGGCCTGCGGCCTGCAGGGTGGCGTGGCCGGTGGACTACCGCTTGCCCAAGTACCACTACCGGCTCCCCGACCCCATCTGAGCTGATGATGACAGCCAAACCCAAAGTCAAAATTCCTAACTGAGTTTACCTCTTAATACTTACTCGTTGATTTCTCGGTACCGTTGTATTTTCTTACCAAGGCTGTCAAAAAATCAGAACATTTTCGATTTGGGGTGACCAGGCCAGGCCAGGAACATCACCAAGAGTACACTGGATAGAAAACTGAGACTCAGGCTCTCTCAGAACAGCATGCATGCAAATGGCAAAAATTAGGAAAGAGCATTAACTAGCAAAGAGTGATCATCAGTGCCAAAATATAACACGTGAGTGTATTGTAGAAAGCATTCAAGACTTCCTATTTCTTCTTTGTTTTGCTTGTTGTGTTTTGATAAATAGCATATTCGTAATATATTCTGTTCCAATACTAATTTTGTCCTAAAATTAAAAGTACCAGTGCCACATGCCAGGGAGGTTGGCGCTGATAAACACAACTTTTCGAGCCAGTTTTCTTCACACAGTACAGTGCACAATGCAATGCACCCTGGCCTGCACCGCAATCTTTGCTTGCCCAGTACTACCGAAGTAAGCGAGAGTAAAGTGTCTCGATTAGTACGGTACTTATTAAAGGCCTTCGCAGTCAAAATAAATAGTTGTTTTGATATACACATGCGGTTCGAGCGCGAGCCTCCACGCCCCGCCAGCGTCCTGGCCCAGTCGCTGGCTAGGCATGCGCTTTGCCCATATACGCTTAATTGCGCTTGCAGAGCTGGAGCACATATCAAGAAACGAGCAAGCATCATATATTTCTCTTCAAATTGTTATGGAAAAAAGCTGAGCAGTATGTTGAAGGCACAGGCTAAAGATGCAATGCAACATGGTAAGTACCTGTAACTGTGTTAGAAATAGAATATTAGGGGGCCTACTATAAAAGAGGATCTTGATACTAGTCAAGACAGGCCAGGCAAAACCCCCGGTGGGGTCACTCCCCTGCAAAGAGTGACACGTATGACCGTTACCACCAATGCATATACCCCCTTTTGCGGTCAATTTCAAGGACATTTGGGGAAATTTAACCCCCTTCTTTTACGTTAAAACAAGGACAAAATCGTACTTTGGAATACCCCTATTTATAAGATTGTAAGAAACTTTCGCAAATTTACCCCTATTTTACCATGTTTCAAGGACAAGACTCGGCTCCGAGAATTTTTCTTCCCGGTTTTCTCTTTTCCGTTTTCCTGACCCCTATTTATCAATTTCGGGGACACCTGTGCACCCCTATTTTCTTTATTTCCAGGAATATTTTGTCCGCGGACATTGCTTGAAATTGACCCCTTTTTCCGCGATTTTGGTAACGGTCATGCGGTCCGGAAGTCACATTGAGCGACCCCACCGGGGCAAAACCTGCGCAAATCCAAATTACTCTGAGGCCAGCAGTTCCGCAGAGCATGCAGAGAAAGAAAACGCAGTTCCGTTTCATTATTAGGTAGTCTACAGCAGGCCTCTCGCCAAGAAATTAAAATTTTTTTTTTTTTTTTTTTAAATTTAAATTTAAATTTATTTTTTACAAGTATTACAAGTAATTTGATAAATTTTTAATACCATACCTGCCAACCCTTACGAATAATTCAGAATATTCTGTTTTGGGGGGTTTCTAGGACCAGAAATTCCGGAATTTTCTGATTTTTCAAAAAAAAAAAAAAAAAAAAAAAAAAAAATGATTTTTTTTTTTTTAATTTTTTTTTAAGAACGCGTGGCGCTAGGTCGGGCCCATCAGGAACGCGTGGCGCGCGCGCCACGCGTTATCTGTGTACGCGAGGGCCATGGTCTACAGTCACAACGGGCGATTTTGAATTTCATTATAAAAGAAAGATATAAATTTTTCTCTTTGTCCTTCTCCCTCTCCCTCTCCCTCTCCCTCTCCCTCTCCCTCTCCCTCTCATTCTCCCTCTTCGCCTTCTCCTCCTTTCTCCTTCCTTCTCCTTCTTTCTCTTTTCTCCTCTCTTCTCCTTTTTCTCCTCCCTTCTCCTTTTTCTCCTCCCTCGGCCTCCGCCCCCACTCCTTGTTATTTAGGCCTTATATACTAGGCTAGGATAAGCATATGCATGTATGTTCCCTCCCTTTGAAAGCACCGGCCCCCCTTATCTCAGATGAGTTAACCTAATGATCTAACCCCCAGGGGGCCGGGGATACTCAGATTTGGTTCGGATGGGGATGCATGTGCCGATCAAGCCTCAAAACCCATACCCATATTTTAAGGGTCAATTTGGAGGAATTTTCTCAAAGTAAAGCCTGTTTTTCACAATTTTGGGGTGTTTCATTTTGCCATACAAATATTTCAATGACTTTAAATTAGAAGTGAAAATGATTCTGGAACAAAAGGTTCAGAAATTGGATTCAATTGGCTGAAAAACCCCTCCATTGCTCTGTTGTTTTATCGTTATTATTATTATTATTATTATTTGATAAATATCATTATTGTGATTATTACAATTATTATTATTATTTAGTCCCATTTATACATGCTATATCTCCATCGTTGACATGCTGGTCTTCCATATGGAGTGCTGTTAAAAGAAGGATATTAGCTAAAAGTATTAAAACATAAAATATAGATACAATAGCGATACATGTATATCCAAAAATGACATGTTGATTTTTGTGCCCTTTCTTTTATCAGCCAAGTCGTTTGGAGAGAACTTTGCACGTACTAACAAGTACATGCATGCCAACAAGCTATGGCTACAAACTGTACCAACTACTGACTGTGAGGTGGTAGTTATCTTCCCTACCAAGACGGATGATGCTGTTATCATGTGGGTCTTAGCTAAGCTGAAGGAGAGGCTACAAGAGCTTAAAGTAGCTGTTAGACATCATGCACATACAGGAACATGTGGACTCTATCTCTCTGCCTCATCTGACTGGTAAATAAGGGTGTCCAGTGGCCTATGTTTATTGTTACCATTTAATAAACCATTTTCCTAATGATGAATGTAGGGGGTGGGGCACCACAGGTTTGTCTGTCCCACTTTGTTATAATAAAAAAAACTGTATTTCAAGAATATTTGAGGCATTGGGTTCAAAGTTCAAATTTTGTGTTACCATCGTGGCCAAATTCTTGACAGGCCTTCTGTGACCCTCCCCCCCCCCAAAAAAAAATGTTTTCTACAAGAATGGTGCAGATTTTTTTTCCACTTTCATTTCACGACCCTTGCCTCTTTGAATGACCCTAAGTAATCTTGAAATGCAGAAATGTTCAAACCTTGTTGGCAAATGACAAACATTGATGTCTTTTTTGTTGCACCCACTGCATGCAAGTAGTAGTGAACATAAGGAATCCAAATAGCATCTGTCCATCAGCTGTTGTCCGTTACAATTGGTTAAGTTTATCTGCAAGACTCTTGTGACAAATAACTGGATATGATTGATATGTTCAGTGATATGGCATTTTTCAAAAAGTCTTTCACCGTCGTCATGAAACCCCCTTCAGTGATTAGGAACTGTTCTGCCTGGAGTTCTCTGTATAAAATCTCATTTGAAATAACATTAATTTCAAAGAAAAGCAAATAATATGTAGTAATATTTTCATTCATTGCAGTTTGTTACAAGGAGCAGAGAATCTTAGCTTTCGCAAGCCACTGAAGGCTGAGTATGGAGGAGGACTGAAGGAGTTTACCTGTCTGGAGGCTAGCATGTATGAAGGAGCTGATGATGCTCATCAATTCCTTTCATCTCAGGTTAATATCTCATTCCAAGACTTTCAAATGACATCTAGATTGATCTTTTAACCTTCTGAATGGGAGTTTCCATAAAATGTATCACATACGACATGAGTTAGCTTTTATCCAAAAATGAAAATTCTGATATGACCATTGAATAAAGGTCATCTCATCGAAACCCTATTAAGTTTTAGTTATTATCTAGTTCCTAATTATCAGTTCCATGAAATGTTTGGGCTTTAGCCTTGATTTCATAATATCTGATGTACCATTTGAAGAAAATTAATGCTAACCTTGGTACTGGTATATATTACCATAGAGGGACAAAGCTATTGGCTTATTGGGTTATTGCTTCAGTTAGCCTCATTAATCGCAATAATTTAAGGACTCTTTAAGCCATTAACTCCAACCATGGTACTACTATGTATTACCAGGAAAAATGTCACAAAGACATTGTTAATGAGTTTTTAGCCCTGTACATGAAACACAGCCTCATAACAAATGTTGATGGATGTAAATCAACAAGGTAAAGTAAGCCGAGTTTGTAGACAATTCAGGCATGTGATAAATTATTGTGAAAATATCAGTTTTGGAAACTATACATAAAGTAGGAATTGGGAATAACGAATTAACTGAATATAGGCAGATGCATATTAGAGATGCAGTCACATTCATCATGTTTGTAATATATCATCTACACTGTAGGAGCGCCAAAAAATCATCCATTACATGCTTGAAAGCCTGAGAGCAGTGGAGGGTGATAGACTGGGCAAGGTGAAGTTTGTGGACAATGAACCAATAGTGCCAAAGCTTCAAGCGAAAGGGGTCATCTCCAAAGTCTTCCCTCTTCATAAGCGTGACGATCTGCAAGTCCTCAAGAAAACATGGGTTCAAGCCTTCTTCAAGCCACAACCATTGGGTAAGATTATGGACATACCTATGCACCTGTTTATTGCTCAACTATTTACTCCCCCCCCCCCCCCGCCCCCCTTAAGAACTCCCCAACATGTTCATGTAATTTTTCAATTTCAATTGCATTTATTCCCACAGATTCATAAAATATACCATCGCTATAGTGTTGCTTGGCAACAGGATTATCATATTTCAAATGTATGTATTGTTAAATTTTAGTCAAAATCATATCAATCTCTATCTTCATTGTACTTCATTATGCACATAATGTGGTTTTTGTTATACCAGCAAAACTTGTTATATCATAAATACATTATGCAGCCATAATATTCATACAATAACTGCATCATTCTCTATGTCAAATTAAGACTTGTTCAGCTCTGGCGGAAAAAAATTTATCAAATTCTGAATGTATGTAAACATATAAGATGTGCAACAAAATTAATTTATTCAGCCGGAGCTGAACAAGTCTTAATTCATCATAGACAAATTATGTGTTTGTTGTATAAATATGCATGCATAATTAATGTATTATTATCGACTTGGTTCATGCATCCAAAAACCACTAACGAATCTACTGATTTGAAAAAGCAACTCCTTATGATTTCTAAACCGCAATATTTTGAACAGTTTCCAGAAGAGACTGTGCCTGTGATTCTAAGTTTGAAAATCAGAGTTATTTGTCAAGTCATGCTTGAATGAGCATGCTGTAAAGCCAACATGGTTCCATTTCAGCATTCACAAGGTTGTCATTTCTTCAGTGTACTGAGCGACAATTGAATTCATGAATGTCGAGGCTGTATGTATGATTGGGCTGGTTAAAGTGACTCGGTATTTACATTGTTGAAGGTTGATGAAAAAAATCTGTAATTTTTGTATGAAACGCTACTTATTATATTCCTTCTACTGTACTTACCCTCTAACATGCAAAAATTTCTTTAAAAATTCTCAAACCACAAAGATTGTATTGTTTTCTTTGAAGGCGTCACTGTGCGACACCCTCTAACAGTAAAATCTCACAACCATTTTTAATTTTCCCAACCGTTTTTCCATTAAAATAAGACATAAGGCAGGCTTTTAAAAATAATTCAACGCTTAAATGTCTGGAATGGTATATACCGGTAGAGCTTATTCATTACAATAATGGTCTGTCTTCACTCAAACTTTTAGATTATCTTTAATTGTACATCTAACATTGAAGTCACTACCTAACCCTTTTCTCTCATCTTAACAATGTTACCAAGTCCCTTTAAATGATCTCCCGACACCTTGCTGACCTTGAATCCATTCTTCACAGTTGACTCAACTTGACTGAGCACAAAAATAATCGCGATTCCAACGTTTTGGAAGTTGTGTCATTCATTACTACAGTTTTATTGAGGAACAGGTTCTATAACCTTATAAAAATGATCTGCCGATAATGTAGCAGGTTATGTTTTCCTTTGAATGTGTGCTCAGTCGACCATGAAATAATGGGTTCAAAGGTCAGCAGAGTGTCAGGAGATCATTTAATCAGTCAAATACCTACCTTCACACAGCACTGATGGTTTTTAAAACCCCCCTGGTCAAAGCAAATCAGCATGGCTTTCAGACATCAAGAAGAAGCACAATAGGCTTATTTAACTGCACAGCTTAGAGGCCTGATATGATTAATTATCCCTCATATGTCAATTTCGACTCACGTTAATTCTAACAAATCTATTATTTCTCTATTACACAGTTGAAGTATTGGTTTGCTCCTCTCTTTATGTTTTACATTGTTTTGTGGACATCTTTTTTTTTAATAGAAAAGAACAGTGAGCTTATCTTAAAAAACACTCTTATCATTAACTGTAGAAATTGTGTGTCAAATATAGTTTATTAAGTAAAACCATTACTCTACAGAAAACAATGATTATTTCTTGTTTTCCTGTCTATCAGATGCAGTATGTGACTACTTTGGAGTAAAGATAGCAATATATTTTGCTTGGCTAGGGTTCTATACGCAAGCCCTTCTCTTTCCTGCTGTAGTTGGTCTGCTTGTAACCATCTTTGTTGATGATAGCAATCAGGTAGGAGTAGCTGATATTGGAATTTTGATGTTTCATGAATAATCCCATGTACAAAATTCATTGGATTTATAATTTTCAACGCGGTGAAACCCAGGGGATTGATTAGTTACTCTCCAGTTTCAACATTTACCAGGCTTCCAATGGTTTAAAGGTTTGAAAGAGCTTGATTGTTAAAAAGTGGATTGGCTTTCATGCAGCCTCCCCGAAGTTGACAACCACACAGTTGAATAAACAAACCTTGTTACTTGGTTCTTGTGGCATTAAGGATGAATTACAAATTTAAAGAAGAAAGCAATGTAAATGTTATGATCTATTCCAGTCCCTTCATTCAATCATTCCATCACTGTCCAGACAAAAATGGGTGTTGACGTGGCTGATCTGTGCAGGAAAAACATCACCTGCTATGGTAGAGGTGGGGTGGTGATGGGGCAGTGGTGTATCCAGCATTTGGTGAAGCTAGTGTAGCTTCTCCTTGGAAATCTTGGCGAAACTTGCCACAGGGGTACAAGAAATGAGATGCCCAGACACATTTTCTGAACCCCTGTCTTGGGAAGGTCCCTGCCCTATCCATTATCAAGTTCTAGATTTACCGCTTGGGATATACAGAGCTAGGTATAGGGATATAGATCAAATGATTGTTGAAATCATTTATTGATAGTTAACAGAGCTCATGCAATAACTGCCTGATATGCAATATGTTCCATTCCAAGACTGAAATATTCTTGCGCAAACCAATTTTCATGAGTTTCAATATCAAAATTAGCCAGTGCTCACTCAAGCGTAAAAATTGTACAAATCATGCAGATACTGTAATATTATAATTTTGTTGGAGGGTATTTTCAAAGTGTGTATTTTTTTCTGATATGCCTAGTATATGTAAAGTGATCGTGAACAAGATATTTGATACTGAATCTCTCAGTGCAGACCACACACAATCTTGGTTTGTTTTGTTCTTCCAAACATTGTACAATGTGCAGGTATAAACCACAAGTGTGACATGTATATTATGCAACATTTAGAATTGTCTATTAAACTGACATCCTTTTTTTTTTCTTCAGTTGAATCAAGACAGGAGTGTGGTGTTTGTCTCGTTCTGTAACATTACCTGGGCTTCCCTTATACTGGAGGTATGGAAGAGAAGGGGATCTGCCCTGGCCTATCGATGGGGAACGTTAGACTCCAAACATGAGCTTATTGAAGAGCCACGCCCTCAGTTTAAGGTACGTTTAGTGAGACAAGATGAAAGAGGATGTGTTAGATTGTGTTTGGGTTATCTTTCTGTCCTACTATCTCGTTACTCTGATAACTCAAGAATCATTTGTTTCTTGTATATGTCATTGTAGGGAAATTTACTGATAAGATTTTGAGACAGTGGCCCGAATATCAGACATATTTGGGTTTTTATGACTTCTTATCCCTTTTTGTCAAGAATCATATGAGGCAAGATGGTCAACAGTACCAATATGCAACACAAAAGAGATGAACTGATGAATCATTTATTGTGAAAAGTCATTACAATTTTCCACCAGTGGATTATTACTATGTTGTGATATACATAACTAAATGGGTGCTCATTTTCTTGCATTTATATAGGCAGTGCATGTTAAAATCAAGAGCAATGTACTGAAAGCAATGTACTGAACTAATTTATTAAATTAATGTGGACAAATGGCTCTGTTAATGCTTTTTGGAAAATGGAAAAATAATTTATCTCTGATTTGGAGAATTTTAAAACAATTTCCAACATTGAACAGTTTTCTGATGTAAATAGTGGAAGGTTCATGCCCGTTTTTTCTTCACAAAATGACCTGACAAATCTAATCATTGAATCACTAATTGTGTCTTTGTATTATTGTTGATAGGGAGACTTGGTTGTGAACAGTGTATCAGGCAAGCTGCAGCCCTACTATCCTGCTTGGAAACGTAATGTCTTCAGATACTTTGTAACGCTCCCAGTCATCTTACTCTGCTGCATCATAGCATTTGTCTCCATGTATCTCATTCTGGAGCTCCAGGAGTGGGTCAATTCTCACATTCAGCAAAACAATTGTTATTGGTAAGTAACTTTGAACTTAGTTTGCTCATTGTTATTCCTGGAAGGATGGCAATATTTTTATAATCACATTTCTTGAGAAAAAAAATATGTTCTTGTAATATTTTCTGGAATTTTTATTTGATTTTCCCTATTTTTACAAATTTTGGTCACAATATCTGTGTGTAGAGGGAACACAATATAACTTTGCATTGCAGCTGAAATTCCAGAGCACTGATTGTGAATGCCCCAATAAAGAAAACGTTGAAACAACTTGTAGAGTTCTTATTTCTCTTTATTCTGTTCTTTAGTAACAAGTCATCTTCACGTCGCTCATCAATCAGCGAATCAGTGATTAGCAAATCAGCAATTCAGCAATTCCGTAGTTAGCGAATCATCATCATTTAGCGATTCAGCAATCCAATTAGCGGTTCACTGTAAACAACAAAGTAACAAAGCATTATAAACATATGCATCATATAAACAAAATTAAATGCATGTAACCCTGTCTACTTTACAGTGAATCTTGTAAATACTCTTGACATATAAACGTGATGTTTATATACGAAATAAACTCCAAAAGGAATGTAACTATCCAGCTATACAGTGTAACCATTTATGTCTCTGCTTGATATATATCTTCATAAATTCCTGTGCTTAGAATGTGCCTGTAATGCACGGTGTTCTACAGATACGGCTTCATAATGCCCCCTTAATTAAGCAATTACAAAGTAGTCTATGTGATTCCAGACCCTATACAACTGACATCAATAATATTCCCTCAGAAACTGTTCTACACACTCCTTATAATGGTAATTAACCTCTTTTAACTCTTACAAGCTGTGCAAGTCGCTATAACATATCATACTAATTAAATCATGCACCATCTTAGAGCTTGTTTATATGAATAAACCCCTTTATGCACAACACATACCTGGGTGCAATTGCAACAAGTCATCTTCAAAGTCTGAACTCGTGTACGTTCATTATACACACACACATGTATCCCATGCGTAAGCACTTATACTTTACGTGCTTTAACAACATTACAAACTTGCGAACTTTGCCTAAATTAACATGAACCTATTTACACAATGAAATCATTGGCCTGGCCAATTTAACAACAAACAATCATTCTTCATTTATCTTGTGTCAAACTCACCAACTATTTGCTCCTTCCGAAGAACTTTCCTTTCAAATCTTGGTAACAATCAAGACGCCATGTTTTCTTATACACGGTATTTGCTGCACAAACTATCCCTTCGCCGTAGATGGCGCTTCACATACATTCCTGATGCTACATTACTCGGCCCCAAATGATTTAACTTACATTAAATCATTTCTCAACACATCCTATAGCGTCATACACTTTCAATTTCTGTCTTAACAATACAAAACAATTGAGTGTTAGAATTTAGATACATATCACTCACATATGCCTTTAAAGTGTTTTCAAGTTAAATGACATCATAATCACATTATACATGTATAAATGAACAAAATATCAATAGCATGCAATATTTTTGTCAAAAACATACATATCCAAAACAAACTATTGAAGTTGCCTTTCACTAAATTGGGAATTAGATAGCAGATTAAAATACCAACTCTATCCCTTAACAAGGTGCAAAAAATGAACATCTACATATTTGCCTCCTTTTAAAGTCCTAGGATAAAATTGCTTCATTAGCTTCCAATAGGCACAATTTTGAGATTGGTCTCTTGTAAAACCTAGGTCCCACCCGAACTTCCACCTGCCTTGTTTGTCCGGATAGGTCGTCACAACACGCCCAATGGGCCACTGCCCACGTGGGACACTTTCATTGACTACAAGTACAAGGTCATTGACCGCAAAGTTCCTATTTGGTCTCCTCCACTTTTGCCTAAGGTGTAATAAAGGAAGATATTCCTTGACCCATCTTGTCCAAAATTGGTATGCTAAGTACTGTACTTGTCTCCATCTTCTACGAAGATAACAATGTTCCTTCACAAAAATTCCTGGTGGCAAGCTTGGATTTCTGCGAAGTAGCAATAGATGATTGGGAGTCAAAGGTTCATCGTCTCTTGAATCCATGCTCAATTGGGTTTAGCGGTCGAGCGTTCAAAATTGACTCTACTTCAATCAAGAAGGTTCCCAATGCTTCATCCGTCACTGTCTGATGTAGGAGGTTTGCCAAGATTGTTCTCACAGAACGTATCGTCCGCTCCCACACACCACCCATGTGGCTAGCTCCTGATGGGTTGAAATGCCATTCAATACCACTTTGCACCAAGTACCTGTTCATCTTGTCTGAATTGAGCTTTGAGAGTTCGTCTTTAAGCTCCTTCTGTCCACCCTTGAAGTTCCTGTCAGGTACCCATTTACCTCACCTGGGTCGAGTGTGGCAAATGAAGATTAATACTTGACAGTTAGTTGAAATGTTTAATCCGAGGTGAACCTTTTGTCCCAAATTTATTTTGTGCTTGCATTATTCACTTTTGATGTATAAAGTGCTATGAAAAATAACTAGAAACATGGACTTTGATTGGACAACTGTTTGACCATGCCTTATCTATGTCAGGGTCTTGGATCTTTCCTTCTGTGTATCATGTTTGGTTGTATTTATGTGTGTTTCTCTTCTTCTCTTCTCTTTTATTATTGTGATGCAAATTAATCAATTTACATATATTAACTTTGTATTGTTGTATGATACAACTCTATCTATTTTGTTTAATATTGTATGGAAATAAATACTATGTACATAATACATGTACATGAAGTTGGCAGTATGTTGTTAATGTTATTTCATACATCTTCTTTCTTTTTTTTTAACCAACAAAAATAATAGTCCTTTCAGGCTAAAACGCTTTTCTGTTTTTTTATTGTTCTCTAAAATTTAAAACTGGGTAATGTATATTTGAAAAATTAAAAAGAATAAATAAATCAATGCATGTTTTTTTCCTCAGGTGGGTTGGTTACATTCCGAAGATCACCCTTACTGTTGTGATCAGCGTGAGTGACATTGCCTTTAAGAGGGTTGCCTACTGGCTGAACAGGAAGGAAAACTACCGTCTTCAGAGCACGCATGAAAATCAACTCATTCTTAAACTGGTTACGGTAAGGACACATCATCTTGTACTGCAAGGACCATATACCTATGGCCCCTACAAAATTCTGAGCCTTTTTTGTCTCGACACAATTAGAGTTCTTTGGCCTGGATAGACATTGCACTAGCTCTCGTTATACACCCACATTATGTCATAAATAACAAATACTTTAAAATTTACGTCAGAAGCATGGATAGTTCCTGGGATTTATGCGGGGTCTTTTGATCCTTTATCAACCTATCCACAAGTCTAAAATTATGTGTAAGTCACATTTTACATAATTTCAAGGAAATACTAAATGAACTTTACTCATAATCTTCAAAGTCTTCTTAAAAACAGCCATAGTCCTAGGGATTTACGGTGGTATTTATTGAATAATGGGTTTTAAATGTTTTTTAAAGCTCTTTATTATTGCTATCATGCAAACAAATTAGACTTCAGAAAGTTGAATCAGATATGAAATATTAAGAAAAAAGGAGATTGTTTAACATGTGTTAACCTACGGTGGACATATATTTATATGAGCCCCTTTTCTTCATTCAGTAATTTAGGCCTGCAAAGCATACTACAAAAGTACCGTAAGTCAGAGTCAGTTGTCTTTATACAATTTGGAGTCTTTTCTTTGTCAGACTTGGGTTCTGTGCGCAGGGTTTAATGTTCTCCTTTATTTTCTTCATACTCTATTAACTATTAACCCATAGTATGTCCAGGAAAGTTTTCTGAGGTTGATTTCTAACATTCTATCCATACACAAATTATTTTTTCAGGTGATTGGTAAATTTTACACAACCCCGTGCTTGAGACTAAAGAATGATAGAGTTATCACCACATAGCATGAGCAGTTATCCATAGAATCTGCGAATGCTCTTGCCGAACACCCACAATTTAAAGAATGTCTACCTCTTAGTCAACAAAGCACTTATTCTCTAAGATCCCAATCAAAGTTTAAACAATACCACTGTAAAACAAAATGCTTCCAGTGCAACCCTCTCCCATACTTTATCAATATTCTTAAATAATAAAATGTAATACTAACATAAATTGTGTTTTTCATAATTTCACAGTTCATGATTGTACTATATCAATGACTTTTGATAGTTTTTATCTTGATTTTCTGCATTTCTGAATGTTTCTTGCCATCTTCCCTCATCTGTAACATAGGGACCCCTTTGTCTGCCTCTTTCCCCCTTCATCTCTCTCTCTTTCATTCTCTGTCTCTCTTTTGTTCCTTTCTCTCTCTCTCTCTCTCTCTCTCTCTCTCTCTCTCTCTCTCTCTCTCTCTCTCTCTCTCTCTCTCTCTCTCATCACTCTAACTCTCCCTCTCCTACACCTCTCCCTTTCTCTTTCTTTAAAAAAAAATGAATTTGAATTGCAATTGTATTGTATCTTTGTGAAATGGATCCCAATTTGGCTGTTGGCTGTGATGATCTTTAAAGATCTATCTTTAGGGTTAAACTAAACTTCGGAATACTAATTAACCCAGGATTATATTGGCAAGTTTGACCAGCGCTAACCCACACTTTGATTTAACCCAGGATTTAGTTAAATTGAATTTTTTTCAACTTTAGTTTTCCATTGTTTATTCAACGTGTAAGTTATTTAGTTTCTTTATTTCAAAGAAAAGTATAATAATATACAAATTTAAACTTGCACAATAACAATAAGTATATCCAAGTCCATTTCTAATTGGTTTTAAGAAAGGTTTGTACAAGGTATCATAATATATGGAAAATCAGAAATACATGAAGTTGTGACTGAGTGACTTAAGAAATTATATGGATTTTTATTTTGTTATTCTAAAAAAAAAAACAAGAATATAAGATGAATAATACCTAGGTGAGAGGATGCTGTTTGGGATACCATGGATTATATATGAGTAGGTAATGAATGTGAAAAGGTTGACATCTTTTGATCAAATTTGATCAAATCTGATAATTTATCAGTCATTGGGTATTGATTACTAACACAGTCTGAAAAAATGGAAAGTGCTGAGAAACAATATGCATATTTAGTGCTATGTAAATGTTAATATATATTATTACTTTATTATTACTATTAATATTATCATTATTACTAATATTATGATGATTAAGGTAAGGCTTTATTCAGAAATGAAGTGGTAACCGTGGCGATATAATAGTAGAAAACGCTTCACAATTCTGTATCTTATTCAGTCTGGGTTAACTCTCTATATCTGAACGCACCTTAATGAAGACGATGCTCTTGTCTGTCTGCATTCATACAGGTGCAGTTTATCAATCATTTCCTTGCATTGTTCTACATTGCCTTCATTCTCAAAGACATGACAAGACTTAGAAATGTAAGTATCCTTTGAAAATCACCTACATATTTGTTTAGGATTCAATTCAAGTTACAGTAGTGATGTTAATGTCAAAGTTTGTTATAATTTTACCTTTTGGTCAGGATGCAATGTTAGCGCAACAATTTAATTAACTCAAAGATAGATTAATTGCACTTTTAGTATTATACTCTTGGACGGAAATACAACCTACTGGCAAGTTCCTCTCTAAGAAAGCAGAAAAGCCAGAGAAGCAGTTTGATGAAAGGTTGAATGGTATCAGCTGAACAACAAGCAATTTATAAATTGTTTAAATCATATTTATTACAAGTTTTATTGGAGTTCTTGAATGTACAAAGTTCTAATTTCACTGCTATGTACTCTCCAATGTTTACAACGACCATATAACTCCAATATATATTTTTAATGAATGTGTTTGACGAATGTTTGTACTAGTAACTTTATTCTGCCCCTGGAAAGAGGAGAAGGTCATGGATCTAGTCTGGTGTGAGCTTAGTTCTTGTGTGGAGGTCGATACTTTGATTTAATCTCACATTTCAGTACAAAGATATAACATTTAAACCATCAATTTGTATATGAAAGAAAAATTTGACAATCACTTTTTAAGATTCCTAATTGTTTATGAAGGTCATGTGCCAATGTTACTTTGTTGATAGAAGTTGTTTCATCTACATGTCATTTAATGTTTGTACAACCATGACATTCAAGGTTCTTCTGTATTCACAGTATTTGGGAACGATATTCATCCTTCGCCAATTGACTGGTAACTTCAAGGAGTCAGTTCTGCCTTACATCACAGAGAAGCTGAAAGTCTACCGAATGACTTACGTGACTGCCAGTAAATTCCATACTGATGAGGAAACAAGAAGACAACAAGACAAATCAGAGGCAACAGAGAAACAAGGAGACATGTCAGAGGTAACCAAGAGACCAGAAAACATGTCAGATAGAACAATGAGACAAGAAAATATGTCAGATGAAACAAAGAGACAAGGAGACATCTTAGAGGGAACAGAGGGACAAGGAGACATCTTGGCGGGAACAGAGGGACAAGGAGACATCTTGGAGGGAACAGAGAGACAAGTAGACGTGTCAGAGGAAACTAAGGGACAAGCAGACGTGTCAGAGGGAACTAAGGGACAAGGAGACGTGTCAGAAATTGCATGTGGTAAATAAACATTCATTGATTGCCTTTACTACATTTGACATATATTTCAATTTTCATGCCTCCACCCACCGAAGGTGCTGCTGGAAGCGTTAAGTTTTCTGGTTGTCCATCCCTCTGTCCGTACTTCCCGCTTTCTTGTGATCGCAACATCTCAAGAACCACTCAAGTTATGAACCTTAAAAGTTGATGATAGTATATATCACTGTAGGAAGACGATCTGATTAGATTTTGTGGTTAGTAGGTCAAAGGCCACAGAGGTCAACTTCTGAAACTCCTACTATTAGTCTCATTATTGCAAAATTCCTAGAACCACAAGAGATTTGAGGCTCAAACTTGGTGATGATACGTATAACCATAGGAAGACAATCTGATTAGATTTTGGATACATATAGGTCAAAGGTCACAAGTCCATTTATGAAATTACAGGTTTTAGCCTTGCTATTGCGATATCTCAAGAACCACTTGAGATTTGGGGTTCAAACTTGGTGATAATATATATCATCATTGGAAGACAATCTCAACAGATTTTTGATAAGTAGGTCAAAGGTCTTAGAGGTCAATATCTGTAATTATAGGTTTTTAGCGTTGTTATCGCAATATCTAAATATCGTGACAGTATTACTTTAGTAAGATGATCCAACTGCAATGTGGGGCTTGTAGTTTTATAGAGTTTGTGGATAACAATCTGCCTCTTGTCCATTTTTGATAAATTGGGATTTGCCTTCTTGATAAAGTTGTATCATTAATATTAATCCTGAGTTAGAATTCAGAAACTAACTTCTGCCTCTGCAAACTGTTAGTCCATCTATTCTGTCTGTTTGTCAGTAAGTCCATTTTCCACCTGTTTATCCATCTGTTTGTCAGTCTGTTAGTCCATTTATGAACTTAAAAAGTGGGTACCCTGGTCATTTGATAAATGATTGTGAAAACACCAGATTTGAAAATTTTACAATATGTGGTATAAATTGGTCGTTATGATTTAAGTGAATGGAAGCAAAGGCATATTAGAGGTATGCAGCCGCATTTTTCTTGTTATATGGGCCCTGATATAAAATTATAGTAAACTTACAAACAAGCAAAATTCCATCAATTGTATTTCTTTGTATTTGATTATACCAATGTAAATGTGTAGGTTCCAGTGAAGAGAAGTTCATCATCACCCAGGCTGAGCTTGAGTCTGAGATGCGCTCCTATGAGGTTAGTAACTTTTCATTCATTTATACAATATGTTGCGTGCATGAAATGTTCACAAATTTTATCACAGGTTCAGATTGGCTCAGACCGATTTGTTTCTTATATAAAATGTGCTCAAAATGCCTAAATGTCATGTTCCCATGGCCTTCCATTATTTTGTTATGCATTTAAGAAGAAATATGGTATTACAGTGTTGCTGAAAATGTTTCATGTAAAAAAAAAAGCCTCTTGTATGGGGTCCAGAATTCCAGATCTGTGAACATTTCTTAACATTAGGTTTCTCCAAGTATTTTTATTTTAATGATATGCCACTTTGCCTCTATAAAAGAGACATTAAAGACCCTAATGTTTGTATGAATGACATTAATCAGAATTGTTAATCACACCTTTTGTAACAAAAATTAAAGTTAATTTGAAAGCTTGCCCACGTTAGCACAAAATGTTCATGCACTGGTGCTCTCTTTGTATTCAAACATGCTTCATCTTGTGAAAGTGATCATAAATTTGTTGTTCGAGCTGAGATCCTGGTGAAATTCACAGAAAGATTACAAGTTAAAACTTCAACATCACCTACAAAAAATTCATTGAGAAATGAGAATGGTAGAGAACTTTTTAAGATGTTGCCAATCAAAAATCTCATAGCATTTTTTGAAACACCCTGTATGATAAAATATCAGTTTCTCCATTGCCTGTTACACAGCTTCTGTTAAAGATACTTAATAATAATGATAATAATATTCCGCTTTCATATAGTGCCTGATACATCGTGTTGTCTCTAAGCGCTTTACAGATTTAGTATTACCCCGGTCATCGGATGCAGGCTTGCCCGCACACAATGTATGTACATTTCTCCACTCCCTGGACATTCCAGCCAGGCGTCATTCAAGCGCACACTTGCTCATCTAATCACATTTACTTTCCCATTCTACCGGGTAACCATTTAACACCTGGTGGAGAGTGGCAAATGTAGCTAACCCTCTTGCCAAAGGACGATAGACAGTTTTTCGCAACCGGTAACAAGGCCTTTTACAATGCTAATCTTCGCGGGGGGGGGGGGGGGGTCCTACTCAGAGTGAAAATTTCCATGTAGTGTCCAAAACTACGACGGTATTCAGCTGTATTAGCCTTGGGAGTCGAGCTAGTGTGGGGCTCACAGCTCATTTAAATACCCCGTAGTCAGCACTTGCCTAGATTAGTTCCGCGGCGGGACTCGAACCCTGTACCTTGTGATCTGCAGTCGGGTGACTTATCCACTAGACCACAACACCTCTATCAGTACCAGTGCAGACTGATAAGCTTCTATCTTCATTCATTTATTCTTAGGATACCTTTGACGATTACTTGGAGATGGTCATCCAGTTTGGTTATGTCATCCTCTTTTCATCTGCCTTTCCTTTGGCTGGGTTATTTGCAGTCATTAATAACACTGTTGAGATCCGTAGTGATGCATTCAAGCTCTGCTCCATTAAACACAGGCCATTTGGACAGAGGGTCGAGAACATAGGATCCTGGCAGGTCAGTAAAACAATGTCTTTGGTCCTTAAGCCTCCTTCAGATATGCCGCAGTAAACCTCTCCATTTTATAAATTCAATTTACTTATTATTGTAAGTTTTTTTAAATGATAATTATGATATATATCTCCTGGGGAGTGTGTCACAAAGACTAAGATTGATTTTAAGTTGGACTTAAATATGGCAGGCCATTCATGCCACTTGTTGCTCTCACCACTGGTTTCTCAATTATGATCTTTAGATAATTTTTTTTTCCTTCAACAGTCAACTATAAAAAAATGTATATTCTGTAGATTTGTCTACGTCCCTTGAGAAATCATTGCCAGGAATGAACCAGTGGCATGAATGGCCTGTCATAGTTAAGTCCAACTTAAAGTCGATCTTAGCCTTTGTGAACCACTCCCCAGGACTGTATGGCCAGTGAACTTCAAACTTGGTAAGAGTATGTATCACTTCAGGAATATGGACTGATTAGATTTTAGGGTAAGCAGATCAAAGGTTATAGAAGTCAATTTAAGTAAATGAGTTTTTGCCTTATTATCTTGATATCGCAGTAGAAGCACATAAACCATGACCTTCAAAAACAGTACGGAAAAGCTCTTGGGTTATGCTCAGTATAGATCAAAGATCACAGAGGTCAATTTGTGATGATTATGAGTTTTTAGTTCACAATGCATTAGCGCAGGGAGGAAAAGTACATGGTAAGCAGAATTTGGGGACAGGATAGTAAAAATTACCATTAGTCAAGATTATACATATGTAGGAGAGAATTATTATTATTATAATTATTTAGTATTTATATATAAATTTATAGTATTTGGCATCAGCTGTGCCTGGGAGACGAAAAAGCAAACTGAATCACTGTAACGCTCGAGTCTCTCCCGGTATAACTGATTGGGGGTGTGCAGGTGGACCAATACACCGGGATTTTCCCCTACTCTTATACGAATAGATCAGTGGGTTCTTAACGTGCAAAGGTGGTGACTTTCCTCTACACGGGGCCTCCGTTTAACATCCTATCCGAGGAATGGAGTGTTTTCCACTGAACATAGCCTGCGTCTATGAAACGGAGGGAACGTTAACACACAACGCATGCTTCAGTCGTCCAGCTAATATATAGACACCCCAGAAAGAGGCATATTGGAGACAAAGTTACTTTTATCTTGTTTTATGAATTGCAGCCATATAAACTATTCCATCATGTGTTTATTTATATATTATTTAGCAAGCATTGGAAGTTATGGCTGTGATTGGAGTGATAGTGAACTGTGCCTTGCTGGGTATCTTTGGTCATGTGGGACAAGCCTTCCCAAGCCTTACACCTACTGGAGTCATTCTATGCATCGTTGTCGTAGAGGTACGTGTAATTTACATATGTTTGATACCAATTAAAATTAATCATATTTTGGTTAGCATGTGAACAAACACTATGACAAAGAAAGCGGACAAAATATACAGTTCCTCATTCTGCCCTCAACAATTGCTGTGGTAGACAAAGGAACATCTCTTCACTGCTATTATGTAAAAATGTGTAAAACAGGTGTCACATGCATATTCACTTTTTACATAATAGCAGTGAAGGGATGTTCCTTTGTCTACCTGAGGAACTGTATATTTTGTCCGCTTTCTTTGTCTGTCATGTTCATAGTGAAATGTCAAACATTACTCCTAATGTAAACTTGAAAATCAAGATATGCAATGGTCCGCAAGAATCAACTTAATCTAACGAAAGAGAAAAAGATACAGTTGGTACATAGATTGATAAGAACTAAATAAACGGCAGTCATACTTGTTCTTTAAAAGTATTCATATCAACAGGTTGTTTCATGTTTTTGTACTGCATTTTCCTAGATTTTTTACCCAACTTCATGAATGTGGAAAATGACCTGAAACTTAATGCAATAACAATATTTGAATGTTTTGAGTCAAAACCAAGTTTTTCATTAGTATGAAACTGCAAGCACACTGCAAGCACTAAAAGAAATTTTGCTTGCACTAGGTAAATTTCTTTACAAATTGAAATTACTCCCAGGATCCCTTGTCTTCAAGGCTAGCCTATTTTCCTAATGGTGGTCTGATAATATTAGTAAGTCGGAAATAATATTAGTAAGTCGGAATTAGGAGAACATAAGGAGTGTAAGAGGTCAGAGGTCACAGAATCATTAAAGTGTATGAAATTCAAGAAGATATCTCATTACTGCAATAGCTTATGTCATTGAAGTAATTTAAATCAAACTTGACTGAATTGTGTATATATAGATTAGGAGTAATTCATTGTATTTAAGGGTTGAGGTATGAGAGGTAAAAGGTCATAGGGTCATCATGGTGTAAAGGTCATAGAAAAAATATTGTTACTGCGATAAAGTAGAAACCATCGACACAATTTTAACAAATTTTGTTCCAGAATATGTATGTATATGCATATAAGTTATCAAAGGTCAAAGATCACAGGACTATGAAAGTGTTCAGAACCTCAAAAAATATAATGATATCATTACAAAATGAACCAATTTAATAAAGAAAAAAAGTATGTATGCTCATGATAAGATTAAAAGTGGAAAAAATGGGTTCATGAGGTTATATGTTAAAGGTCACAGGATCATTGATCGATAAATATACCCAAAGGCATATTGGAGCAAGGTCACATTCATCATGTTTCTGTTATATTCTTCCACTGTGACATAAAAAGAATGACATAAAAAGAATGAAAAAGCTATCTCCCAGAACTCAACCATATTGTTTGTGGTTGTGGTTGTCCACATTCATTTCATCATATCAAAACTGATCTCTTCTTGATTGTTACTTCTTTGTTTGATTAATCAGCATGTGATTCTAGCTGCAAAGCAAGCTATTTCATTGGGCATACCTGATGTACCTCACTGGGTCTCCATAGAGATGGCTAAACTAGAGTACAGGAGACGTGAAGCTCTGAAGGTAAGTCCTTCATAACGAAATAGTGTTATTTTTACTGAATTATATATCTTTTTTGTGGATGTTTCTGCTGTATATATGTACAAATATCTGTATAAAATCAAGAGTAATCACTCTCCACATATAGCAAAAAATTGTAGGATATTATTGTTTCTACTATTCGAAAATAAAATAGCGAAAAAGATGCACAATTTTTAGGGTAAATTTATCACCTTTTTTCGTATTTACAATGTTTTGTGGATACCACATTAGTCGAAGCACAAAAAGAACTGGCTACATTGCTTCTTTAAACAAATATTACTTAGAAAAGTTATTTCATTTATTTCTTCATGTCTAGTGCAAAAGATATGCAAATTATGTAATTTCACCAAAGATCAAAAATGGGTCTCAAGCATGGCAATTATTCATCCCATGGGACATAATTTGGCAATGGGAACCTACAAATTCTTGAACTTGACACTTCAGACATTACAAACATCCATCTCAATAGGGCAATGGGAACACTTATTTCCGTCTAGGTTACATATTGGGGACTTCATTAACTAATGAGACTACAATTACTGAACAAATGATACATACATACAAGTATATATAAATCAAAACCGTTTTCCAAATAAAAAAGACGCCAGAAAATGATTTCCCCCTCCCTCTGCATATTCAGGCAAATACTTACATAGATTAATCATTGGTTCAAGGGTTTCAACTGGATAGGGAGAGGTAGGCCCCTTATACTATATTTAAAAAAAAAATCATTTGTTAACTTTGTATTTCATGTGTAATGTACTCTAATTCAAATAAATTGAATTAAATGGGTTTCACATTTCCTGATTGAGAAAAAAACCTAAATATCTCATTGATTTTTAGAGACCTATGAGCCTATGTTTATGCTGATGATTGCCGACTGAGCCTTTGTTTTCAATTTCATTTGCCATCTTTCATCTTCCTTCATTTTTCAGAACCGTCCTTCTTAATCCTGATATTGTGTTTATGATCTTTGCAGAAAATGGAGGTGGATGCTCTGCATTGCGCCAAGAAGTCGCCGAGTGTAAAGCAAGAAGATGACAAGAAAGGTGATCCAAAGCTGAAGATACCACAGCGTGGGAAGGTGTGGCCTTCTAGTATGAAGGAAACAGCTGCAAATTTCAACCTTTTTCAGAACGACAAAGCAGTAGGCACTGACCAAGTCACAAGTGATGGTCAAGTGAGAAATGATGTCCAAGAGCTTCCTGAAAAGCCCAGTCATGAAAAGAAGTCTGACTAAGATAGTATGTACCGGTATCCCCATTGGAATTTGATTTGATTAGACTTGAGGTTAAGTTTGTCAAAGGTCATAGAGATCAATTTTTGAAATATAGGTTATTGCCTTCTAGCATAATCTCATGAACTTAAAACATGGTGGTAGTATGTATCACATTTTGAAGTCAATCTTATTAGATTTGAGGATAAGTATATAGCTCAAAGTCATGGAAGTCAGTTCCATTAAATTATTTGCTTTAGCCTCATGACAAGATAACAAGGTTGCACACTGTATTATACATTCTCAAGGTATGTTTACGATAGTGAAACTCGTCTGACTGAGAGTGAAACAGATGAATATAGCCCGGGACAAAGGATCATCAGAAACATGAACATTGTGTACCTGGTGCAAGCAGGTGTAATCCTGATCTGTTAATATTAAAGTGCTCTGTATTTATATCTGTTTCACTTCATAAAAGACATTGTGCTACTTTTCTTGGGCGTTTAAGCAGATCCTTGGTAGCATTTGCATCATTTGCATAAACCAGCAGAAGGTTAATACACTTTGCATCAAGGACTCAAAGAACAGTACTACAGGCTTTTTTTTTCAATTCTCAAGTTTTACATTATCCTTACGAAGTATAATATCTGGTTGGGTTTCTTTTTAATTTCTACAATATTCCTAGTCCATTCTGGTTGGAAATCAATTCAAAACCCTCACAGTGGGCCCATGTTGGATAGAGGTAAAAAGTTGGCTGTCGTCCCACTTGATCCTATGCCCCTGTAGTTCTGCGTCTTGAGGCCGTAAACCGGAACCACTTACCCGTTTTTCAATTGCAGGCATTTACTATGGCATTAAATATCAGTGCAATTTCTGCCGGCTTTTAGAAAAACATACTCCAAAGGTGGATTGTTAACTTTTTTTTGTGTGTGTGTGTTTCCCGTAGTTGCTTAGCAACCTCCGACAAAACACCAGAAAATTGAGATAAATCAATTAAATTTTGCTTCCGGTGTAAATGCAGCTATTGTCAAATTTTGAGGAAAATGATGCTTCATTTTCTAAACTTTTCATTTTGCTTTTGTAGAAATTACTTTGAGCCAATCATATTAGTAAAGGTTCTTGCAATTATTCGTCATGTTGTTAATACATTAAGTATTAATTAGAGTATTAAATAGAGTATTAATTTTATGGTATTTATTCATTTAATTATTTATTTAATATATATTATGTATTGAATCATTCATGCAATCAATTTTTATCATGTTTTTTCAATCAATTACCCGATCATTTGATTTTTGCCAGTTTCCCTATTTGTTTGCTTTTATTACCTTTTTATTTGTACATGTTCAAAAATGCTGTGTAAATTATGCATACTATGTAATTCACATACTTAGTTACAATAATATTGATTTTTGTACATTTTATGATTGTATTTTCCAATTCCTTGCTTATGGGTGAAATGAGAATAAATGTTATTATGACTTAACATTGGATGGGGCTCTGCTCACATCATGGAACCATGGTAGCAACCAGGCTAGGTCCACTCAGGTCAACGGTCATGTGTATTCGGGTAGTAGCAAGTGTAATATTTTGATTTATTTCTATCATTTATACAGGGTAGTAAGTTTTCATTTTTTATTTATTCCTAACATTTATACAGGGTAGCACGTTTTCACCAGTAGTAGTGTTCTTCCATGATAATAATCATAATAATCATAAATATGAACTCATAACAGTAAAAGAACAAAACACAGAAAGAAAAAAAATAAACACAATGTATAATCATGTATACAAATTCTTTGGTATCCTTGTAATATATGTGGACTTTTAAAACAAATTACTGTTGTATATTTGTAATATTGGTTTACCTGTATAGATGCTAATCTGTTTTTAAATCAGGTAAAATATAATCATTAATAGACATTTTAAGTTCTGAAAATAGTTTTGTATAGATTCTGAAGTTCATACACAAAGTTGAAAGACAATCTTGGCCCTACATAGATCCATACTTGAGATACCAATATTGTTATATACATAAATGGATTTACATAGCATGTACATATTACAAAATTTAATTCCTTCTTAAATAATAAACATTGATTATTTTTAATCTTAATTGATATGGCATTTAAATATACAAGCTAAATACTGATGAACATATCAATATCTTTCGTACTGATAACGAATGATGTCATTTATTCAATTTGAAAAGATTCATATCATCCTACATTATGAGAATCATTAAGCAAAGTCTATCAAATAAGAGGATGGATATGAATACTGCATTTACATACAGTTGTAAACGTATCATAAACCAATAGTGTGATTCACACAAGAGAACTGCGTTAAAATGTGAGAAATAACAGTAAGAATTCAACCTTGAATCAACCGAACCAAAGTGATGTTTTTGGCTCTTGTGAATAAGTGCAAAAATCATCAATGTTCGGACCGTGGTTCAAACTTCACTTTTGGCAATTTTTTTCTCTTGCCACGTTTGAATAAAATTTGAAACCTCACCTTTTTTCTATGTATGAACAAACTTTATATTTGGTTGTGCTTGTGGTTATCTAGGCCTGAATGTACTCCTGAATAGTCAGCTCACTCTTTCCCATCCCCCTTTCTCTATTACATGATACCTGTATTTCCCTTTTCTCCCTCCTGCTCTCTTTGCCTTAAGCTGTATTATTGTATAGTACAATACACTGTACAATATAAATACCGGGTATTTTTGTTTATGTAGCAATGTTGTAAATTTGTATGTGTCAATTTCTTGTCATTTACCTTTACTTGCTCTTGATGAATTCATTGTATAAATGAACTTGATTTTAACTCTGTAAATTTTCTCACAAATTGGAATATTGCCACAACGAAGATATTAATAAAATTATGAATCAAATTTCAATGTGTTTTCTGAAGTTTTCTGTTGGTTCCTTTTTTCTTATGGTTCGTTATTTCAAAATCTTTTTTATTCAAAAGGTTCGTAATTCAAAGAATTACATAGGGTTCATAATTCTAAAAATGAAATACCATTCATTATTCTGAAAATGAAATAATAGTCTGCTTACCTGTCCCACGGAATTAGTGACCCCATTCAGAGGTGGGTGAGCGTCTTCCGAAGTTGGGAGGGGGGACAAAAAAAAGACACTTTCTAGAAAAAAAAGGGGCACCTACAAGGCGGATCCTCAAACCTATTCAGATCGACATGGGTATATATATACTCCTACATTGTGATTACATTATCGGAATGATTTCAATATTTGTTTCTCTCTTTACTTGGTCCAAGATACTGCTTAAGCATCATACGTTACAGCCGGGTAGGATAGACTGAAACTCTGAATACTCGTTCGCGAGCGAGCAAGCAAAAATGTTACACTTCGTGAGGTAGCTTTGTGAAAATTGATTCTTCTGAAGAGGAAAAACAATCCTGATGGGGTTTTAAGCACAGTCTCATCATGAAAAACTAAAAAGACCTCTAATAAATTACATAATTGTTCCAACTATAAATGCGAGCGAGCATAGTGAGTGAACTTTGGGAGAAATCTATATAAAAAATTGATCTTGGTCGATTTAAATGAGGAGCACATGTTATGGAGAAAGGTAAGGAGGCGTCTATCAGAAGGGAAAAGGACACTTATTAGAAAAAAGGAGCATGTGTCAAAGTAAAAACGGGCAGATATCAGAGATGGAAAATAAATCACTTATAAGAATGGAAAAGGGGCATTTATTATAAAGAAAAAGGGGCACTTATCAGAAAGATAGAAAATCTGCCATTTCAAGTCCTTTTGTACTGATTCCATCCACTATATCAAGAATGTCAAGCAATAATTTTGTTCCATTTATAGGACCTATATAGCTATAATTATGCACAATTGATCGTATAATAATGCACCAAGGGCTCTGTAAAAATATATATTTTATGATTACAAGATAAAAGTTTTTTTTTGAAAAGATCAAAATGGCTGAAAATGAAATATATTGGATAATGATGGAGCCTCAAGACATCCATAAAAGTGTTACGATAGACATTGATTAAAGATCCATTTTTGAGATAATCGTCAATTTCATGAAAACAATAAATAAAAATAACCGCTATATGAATTTTCATGAGGAAATAACATTTAAAGACGATTAAATATCTTTTATCTTCGCTCGCTTCACTCACTCACATCATTTAGGAACCGGATGATTTCAGTCAGTGGAATTCGGGCAGCAAGGTTCCAATATTCCACAAATACAAACAAAAAAAAATGCAATAAATTATCAATAATTCATTGCATTTTGCCCCGACCCCCGACAGGAAAAATTCCTCTGTAGGGCCATGCATATGGTTCAAGGCATACCCACGTATAGGATTTTTTTTATGTTGGGGGTCGGGGCAACATGCAATGAATTACTGATAAGTTTGTTGCATTTTCTTTTCTTCTTTTTTTGTATTTGTGGGGGCGGCGGCGTAGCCTAGCTCCCGCTGCGTAAAGTCATGATTCAGTGGCTAAGCAATGACCTCGTTACTGTGAGGCCCCAGAATAAAAACCATGTCGATCAGCTATAATTGTACTCTTTTGTGAGGCATTAATCCTCATTACTGTCAGTTATGACTTAAGGACGTATGTCCCCTAGTTGATTAGCATAGCACACACATGCTTTAGCAGTCACGCAAAACAAACACTCATTTATTATTATTCAATAAAATCTGAGAATGTATACTATTGTTTAGATCTATTAGGAATAAATCCTTGTCAAAATCATTCCATAAATTGGGGTAAAAAGAATTATTCCACCGTTATGACCAACAGTGTATAGGAATTACATTTTTACAACGGTTGTTCGCTTCACTCGGTTGGAACTTTAAGAAACTGGGCAACGAGATTCCCGAATAATCTCAAATTCGATTGTATATATGATTGCTATATTCCTCTATTCATGTGTTTTGAATACAACATAAAAATGTTACTATATTGAAATTGTCGTTACTATTCTTGCTCGCTCGCTCGCTAATTGTTAGAATCAAATACATCCTAACCTGTGCACATGGCACTCGACGAGTTCCAGAGTAATGAAAAATGAGTCTTGCCTAATGCATTTGGGATTAGAGTGACGTAAAACTTTTTTATTTCTTAAAAGAGAGCCATGTCTAGGGGCGGC